GTTGTTACTCTACAACTTTGCAGTGTAAAGATAGGTAAAGAGCTATGTAGCGATGGAAATTGGAACAATTACAATTCAAACCATGTCTTTACTTTGAACCTGACCTTTGGATGGGGAGCCTTTAATGTTTTTTTAAGACTAGTCTGTGGTTGAACAAGAGCTGGAATGAGGGATTTGAATCTTTTTCCCCCACTGATAAACTAATTAACTGAATTGCTGCAAATGTAGCCTAATTCAGCAGCAGGAATTTCAGTGGCTGGTGGTGGTGGTGGTTCTATACAGTCTGGGTAGTTTTCAGAGCTGAGGCCGAGGTTCTTGTTCGGGTATTACCAGCAACGTGTCCAGATTGCAATCATCTGGCCAGTCAGGGAACAGATTACAGACATTTTGGATTTCTCATTCTGCTGAATTGTGGGAGGTTGGACAAAAGAAGTTTTGTTTGAAATGAAAAGCTATGTTGAATTCTGTGCCGACTGCTCTGAGCACTCTGGGTTGCTGCTGAGCCTGTAGGGATTGTTTATAACTATGGCATTCCAAAATCTTGCAATAAAATGGTTCAAGGCAGTTTAACTCCTTGCCCACCAAAACATACTATTTCCTAACAGCATTTTTTTTTGGTGTTCACTTTAGTAGATCTAATTCTCAGAGAGAGAGAGTGTGTTTAAGTTCACTGTAATAGTACTGAAGGCTTGCACCCAAGTGCTTTGCATGTTTGTGATATTGTATGTTAATCATGCGTATTGTATTCACTGGAGATAGCTGTTCACTGCAGACGGAGTTCAGTCAGACTGTTGCAGCAAAAGCATTGTGTGCCCTCAGATCTTGTTTTTCGTTCGTCACGTACTTTGGCCGTGTATTTGCTCACTTATCCCAGATCAATGTGAAATGGTGCAGACTAGGGTTTCGGGTTGCTTTCTTGAAACTTTATAAATGTTTTATTGCAGATGGACAATGCTTTTAAAAAGTTTAACTTTATGGTATATTTAACTACTGTTGAAAATTGGCTGCCGTGTTTGCCTTGCAAATAGTCATTTAGCTCTACAGCAAATCCTGTGAAATATTTTGAGACATTTTGGCAGCGAGATAAGGCACCACATCAATTCTAAGTAATGATAATATTGTGATCTTGAAAATAGAGAAGCACTAAAGTAAATTCTGCCAATTTGCACACAGCAAACAAACAGCCACACGAGGTTTGGATGAAGAAGCCCCTTCAACTCATGTGATATCATCCTTCCAGAATATAAAAACTTTCTTCCATTACAGAACTAAATCCGCAGCATATTCAAAATGTAATGTTGGCAAAATTCTTTAAATGAGTTTAAATAAACAGTAGTTACAAATATACCATAAAGTTAAACTTTAAAAGCATTGTCGATCTGCAATAAAAGATAAACTTCTGTATGAAAGCAGTAGAATTATAATGGATAGCTGATATTTTTATGTGTTAAAACGTGCTTCTGAATTAAAGGTTACAGGGTTTAGGGTGACATTCTAGTTAATACTGCCTTACAAGTCTGAAAGGGGGATTGTTTGAATTTATGTAGAGGGGAGAATGCGACCTTGACTCCTGATTGTATATCTCTGGGGCTGCTGTGCTGTGTGTGAAGTGCTTTAAGGGGGAGACAGCTGCAGCTTGATTACCGCTATGAATTTCCTCGCTAGCCTTCACATCCCAGAGACAGACGTCATAGGTTATGAATAGTTCAGCGTGTTTGCTGAAACGAGGCACCAGATCCCTTTCCCCATTGAAGTTCGCAGCAGTCCTGTGGAAGCTTGTTCAGCACTCGGTGAAGCTGGGATTGAGGTTTGTGGATCGACATTATCTGTCAGTTTTCTGAAGGAGGCGTGTTTCACGTCAGTAGCCTGACGCTCCAGGAATTTGAGCCCCACAACACATGCTGATGAATGTAAGTTTTATTTAGAAAGTTGAACACTTGTCGCTGCGTGGTGTCAGTTAGCAGGCAGGCTTTAATAACATTTGTTTAGAGTGATGATGGCAAGTCACTTTCACAGCACTCCCTGTGCAAGAGTTACCAGCACTGAAAAGCATTCTGGCCTTCGGGAGAGGTGATCTTATTCCTTAGCCGAACCACATGTCGAATTTAATGCAACAGGCAATGATGGAAAACCAGTGTTTGGATTCTGATCTTCCCGAGTGCCACTGCGATGTTACCAGGCAGGCAATGCTATCCTTTTTTTTTGCCTTTCAATCTGTTAATGGTTGGTTAGAGAGCATTGAGCCATTAATCTAAAGCAACTATGCGAAGCTCTTGACAGGCCTGTTTGTACACCTTAGGTGCTTAAATTGACATGCTTTTATGTTGGTCTGATGTGGGATTTGTTGTTTTGCTTGCTAAGCGTTTTCATCATTCAGCCCCTGCTGTAGTTAAAATAGCAAATTTTTAAATCTGATTACATATCTAGTTCCTTCCTGCCCTGAAACTGTTGCCGCACTTCTTACTTAGTTACTGAGAATAGCACAAATTGTTTACAGTGGATTCTCTGCAAATTTGCAGGCTATGCTGTCTTCTGCCTGTGAGGCAAAGAGTGCTCCAGTAATAGTTTAGTGAGGGATCTCTTTGTGTGGTGCAAATAAATTAATTGTGCAGTGAACTTATTTTGTAGTTACACAGCACACAGTACAGCTAATTTCTTCAGTAAGGCAAGATTCCTTAACATTTCCTGTTTGCTGATTACAATTCATTTAGAAGCCTCTGTCAATAGCTTGGCTAAATGTGTAGAATCTGGCCAGAACACTGGGCCAGTGGATTGACCTTCTGTATTCATGAGGTAAAAAGGCTTTTGAGTTGAATGACATTTTGGTATGGAAGCTTTCTGTCCAGGAGGAAGGCTTGCCTTTTAGTTTGTAAAGCTCAAAAAGGAATTAAGTGATGCTTTTATGCAGCTTGTTTTGCATCTGTATTACTGTTTGTTCTAAAGTGGCATGAGGCCTCCTTTTGCTATTTTGAGGGGCTGAAGTGTTGGCAGAACCTGAATTTTGGGTACAGTGAGACAGGTTCAGTAAGGTGCTTAAGTAACAATGGGAAATGCTAGGAATGTGGCTGCTGAACACCTCACTCATTGTCCTCATCCCTGGTTCAAAGCTATGGTTGTAAAACTACACTTAGCATCTAATGTCCTCGCTCTTAAACTATCCGTGTTTTTTTTGTGATTTGCAAAAAACACTTACAGATACTCACTACTGTAGTAGAGAGTGGAGCCTTGGAATTCTTTTATTTCTCATTTGGTGGTAACGTTGACTGTATACCAGTGCCTGTCCCGTGTGGTGTGACTGGCAGATAAATGAAAATTTATGTAGTACTTTCAGACTAGACCAGACCTCAGAACTGTGTGTTAAAGGGAGTTTGGGGGCATTTAATGCACAAGTAAAAGGATGCCAGAAGCTCACTGGCACCAGTGTGTGTATATGGTTCCTCCATGTTAATCTGGGTTAGCATAGACTTCATTTCTACATCGATATTGAGAATTTATATAACATAACCTGAAAATAGGCAGCATTTTGTAGTCTATACAAATCCAATAAATATTCTGAAATCTAACAAATTGCATCTTATATTACATGTTCAGTTATGTTTTTTGTTGTTTGCCTGCTACATTTTTGGAATAACCTGCTAAACGAGGCATCTTATCTGCTTGTGGTAAGATTAACATTGGAGTCCTGTAGCTCAGTGGTTAGAGCACTCGTCTTGCAAGCGAGAGACCTGGGTTCGATTTCCGGCAGGGCGAAATGTTGGACAAGTTTCCTTACTCCAAACGTCTCTGTTTACCTAGCAGTAGGTAGGAACCCGGTTGTTAGTCGATTGGCAGATCGCTTTTCCGGGGGTAACAGTTCCTTCAAAAAAAAATTGCTCACTCCATCCACAACTGTTTGTGGGACATTGCTGTGTGGCTGCGTTTCACCCACAAAATATACAGTCAATTCACTTCATAGTATATTCTGTGAAGCGCTTTGAAACGTCTTGAAGACACGATAAGGCGCTATATCAAATGCAAGGATTATTATTATTAAGAGTATGATTGAAATACTTTGTCACAGTTGTTCCTTGATCTCTATGCCTTTTCTCTCTTCTTAGCTTGGTGTGACGCAGACTGTGAATTATTAAATACCATCTTGTACTGGCCATACTACTGCTAAGCTATTTCCTTCAGGCCTTTTGTGGCCTTTGTAATTTCTGTTCTTCAAAAGTGTACAGGTGACTTTAATAATAATAATAATCCTTGCATTTGATATAGCGCTTTTCACGTCAGGAGGACGTCCCAAAGCGCTTCACAGAACACACTGTAAAGTGAATTGACTGTATATTTGTGGGCGAACGCGGCAGCCAATTGCGCACAGCAATGTCCCACAAACAGTCGTAGATTGAAAATGACCAATTTAATTATTGTTTTTGGTTTTGGAGGGATTATTATTAGGCGTGTGGAGGCGTGATGATGCTTTGGCAAGCACCTATCTTCCACAAAGCACCCATGGAATAAACTTTACAAGTGCCTGTTCTGCATAATACGAGCCAAAAGCGACTTTGGTCCATGTCCTAATTGGTATTGGATGTTACAGTCAATTAAATAAGTATACAGTCAATAAAATAACGGCACATTATTTTTTTTTAAATGGTTTTGAGCTGTACGAGTACTTCTGTATCTAATGGAATTGAAGATGCCACATGTTCAGTTGGCGATCAAGTGGGTTTTGTGAAAAACCACTTGATCACCAACATCCTCTGAAGAAAAACTGTACATGTGCTGTGGGGCTTTTCACGTTATACGATATCACAGCATAGAAACAGTTCATTCAGCTCATCAAGTCTATGTTGGTGTTTTTGTCAACATGAGCCCCATGACCTAATCCTTTGCTCCCCTTTAATTTCCTTCCGTACTTTCTCTGCTCAGCGTCTATCCAATTTCCTTTTTAAAGAATGTTTTTTACGGCCATTGAAACATGTTAATGTTTAATGTTAATGTTTCTCTTTGTGTTTTAGAGTGAAGAAGCTGAAAGAGACACTGGTTGCTGTGCAGCAGCTGGATAAGAACATGAGCAGTTTGCGATCCTGGCTTGCTCACATTGAGACTGAGCTGTCAAAACCCATTGTGTACGATACCTGTGATTCTCAAGAAATCCAGCAAAAGCTCACTGACCAGCAGGCAAGCATGTAGAGTATTTTCGCACTGTGGTACTGTTGAAAGCGATTTTAAAAAAAATAATACTTATATTTTTGCAACATGTGAAGTCAATCCTCATGATATCATCTATATGTTAAATAGAAATTGAGGATGAAATTCCACTTGCCATTAGATCTAGCGAAGGTGACTTTGTGTATGCAATGGGATATATAATAAATGTGTAAATTTGCTACACTTAGATTTTTCTTCATTGTATCTTCCACATTCCTCCTGCGTGTTTTAAAGACGCGCAGCAGTTTGTTTCCCTTTGATCCACTGTTTGCTTTAGTGTTTGCTCCACTGATTGTTTTCTCTTTGTTCCAGTGTTCTGTACTATGAGCCAACACCCAGTCACTTTTCATAATCTTGAAAAACATTTGCATTTTTCCCCAGTATTGTTCATATCTCCCTCTCTCTCTATCTATAGTATACATATGTATATAATGTGTGTATATATATATATATGTGGTTATCCTTGATAAGACTGTTGGCATTGGGAAACAGTTCTCTCAGATTCACAGTGTGACAACCGATAATGATAAACTGTGACATTGTGATTTCCAGATGTGCCAGTCACGGGGTTGCCAGAAGCTTCCTGACAGGAAGGATAGAAACATTGAGGACGAGCTCCAAGCTCCTTTTAAACCCAGTGTCTTTGCTCTTCCAGGAGTTGCAGAGAGATATTGAGAAGCACAGCACCGGGGTAGCTTCGGTCCTCAACCTGTGTGAAGTTTTGCTTCACGATTGCGATGCCTGTGCCACTGAGCCGGAGTGTGATTCAATCCAACAGGCCACGCGTAATCTGGACAGGAGGTGGAGAAACATCTGTGCAATGTCCATGGAAAGGCGACTGAAGTAAGAGCTCTTGTACATCATGAGCGATGGTGAATGTCTGATTGTAAAATACATTCCCATTTCATATAAATGCCCCTCTGTAAATTTTCTCTTTTCTCCCGGGGGAACTAACTTCTGTTGGGATCTGATTACCTCTTTTCAAACACATTGTGCGCTTGTGTGTTAGCTTGGCTCAGGTAATAGGACTTCCACCTCTGAATCAGAAGGCTGTGGTTTCAAACCCCCAAGACTTGGAACTCTTATGGTCTAGGCTGATAGTCCAATGCACTGCTTGGGGTGCGTTGTATTGTTAGAGGTGCTGTCCTTCTGGTGAGATATTAAAGTGAAATCCCGTCTGCCTGTCCAGGTGGATATTAAAGATCCCAAGGCAACATTCTAAAAGGAAAAGGAGTTTCTCCCAATGTCCTGTTCAACAGTCGCCTAAACAAAATAAAGTTAGTAATTCACTCCATGGATGTTTGTGAGACATTGTTGTGTATAAATTGGCTGTGATATTTGTCCATAAAATACAGTCATGTCACCTTAGAGTATATCCTGTAAAGCACTTTGAGTCATCTCGACGATATGAAATGCAAGGATTATATTATTATAATACAAAGAACAAGACAAATGGTGAAAATAGGGATACGAGATTCTCCACATCCGCCCTTTCATAACCTTGGGCTTTCGTTCTAGCCTATTGACTGACAAATATTGAATAAGACTAAAGTTGAGTGCATGTTATTTAAAATGCATTGTATGCATTCACTTGCTCTTTAAAATGTTTTATTGCCACCAAAACTGTTCATCAGAATTCATACCAGCTACTCTGTCCATAGAGTCTGGTCTGGTCTTGTAATATAAATCCAAATGTCTATATTTAAATCGCCAACCTCGGGCCAATCCAGAGATTAATAATTTGAATATAGACAATGTTTAATTTATAACATGTTTTAAACAAATGAATACGGTGGCATTTAAACTAGAGAGAAACTGGATGCACATGTATGATGCTCAGTTCAATATTTAGAGAGTATAAGATGGGATAGAACTTGCCAAGGGGGATGCTGAAAGCGATCAAGGAGCTTTAGCTGATCTACCATGTCAAACAATGTGAGGCAGAAACAAACAAGGCAAACAGGATGCTGGGCTGGGTTGCATTGTTGAATCAGTTGAGTTCAGATCACCAGACCTTTTACTCAAGCTATATTGTGCCTTGGTCAGGCTGCGCCAGGGGTACTGCACATGGTCCTGTTGCTGCCACATAATGGGGCTGACCAATCAGTCCCTAGAGACATTTAAGAGAGCATTAAGGATGTTTCTCAATGTTAGAAGAATGAACTGTGAGCAACTATTTGATGAGCTAAGATTCTTCAGTCTCAAGAGAATGTGTCTCAGAGAGGACCTAATAGAGGTATATGAAATGGGTTTGAAAAAGTAAACCCAGAACAATACTTTAGGATGCACCAAGACAGTAGAACAAGAAAACCTAGGTTAGAGTTGCAAAGGGCAATTTCAGAACAGACACCGGAACTTTTTCTTTACCCAGAGAATAATTACTGACAGGAACAGATGGAGTGGGTGAGGCCAATGTGCTGAACTCATGATAAATAACATTTTGATGTTGTGATGGGAAGATAGCAGAGTGGGTTTACTGGAGGGATGAAGGCAAATGGTCTGAAGGGTTGCCTTCATTCAAACCAGTCTTGTGAACAAAATGAGCAACTTGGTCAGTTTGCATCAGCTGTCTTCCCAACAGCTGGCTTGCATTTATAAATGATACTGTCATGTTTTGGTAGTGAGCCATGTGGGAGCAGCAATGCTATCGTTTTCTTTTAGACTTTCAGCCTGGACCTTATTCAATTAGTTTTTTTGCGTTAGTCTGTGACTTCAGCAGCGTTCAATGTTACTGCTCGTCACACTTTCTGCTTTCCTTTCCTTGTTAGAATTGAAGAGACCTGGAGATTATGGCAGAAGTTCTTGGATGATTACTCCCGCTTTGAGGACTGGCTGGAAACTTCGGAGCAAACAGCTGCTTACCCCAATTCCTCTGGCGTTCTCTACACAGTTGCCAAAGAGGAGCTTAAGAAATTTGAGGTGCAGAATGCAAGGGTGAAATACTGTGGGAACACATTCCTTAAAGCAGTCGCTGCTGTGCAGAGCCTAGCCAATAACTTTAATTAGCGAATAGACCAGAGATTTCCAATAGTCAGTGATGCCGCTTAGTGGTTCATCTCAAGATCTGATTCATTGAATGTACCTAATAGTAGTAATATAAGGCAGGCATAAACCATGTGTCCATTCAGCCAATTTCCCACAAGATTCGTTATCTAATGGCCCTGAAATATGTTTGTCTTTTTCCTTTCTGAAACTCTGAGTTTTCTCGTTCCACACCTGAACTAGTATATTGTTCCACATGACAATTAACGGTGACAATTACTTCACCGAAACACACTCTCCCATAACGCCTATTTTATGTACACAAATACACAATCACTCTCCTCCATAGTAAAATTCTGTGAAGTACTTTGGGACGTCCGCCTGACGTGAAAGGCGCTATACCCAATCCAATAAAAGGGAAGATTATTATAGTGTTTTTGATAATGAAATGTGATTGATCATATACTCACTACGTATAGGGATTTTACGACAAGTTATTTGAATTGTTTTATTCCATATTCAGGCTTTCCAGCGACAAGTCCATGAGAGCCTGACTCAGCTGGAGCTGATCAATAAGCAGTACAGACGGCTAGCCCGTGAAAACCGCACTGACTCAGGCTGTAAACTCAAACAGATGGTGTACGAGGGCAATCAGCGCTGGGATAACCTGCAGCGAAGAGTCACAGCTATTCTGAGGAGGTTGAAGGCAAGTCTTCCCAATGGGATCCTGAGGCAATGGTTAACTGCATAAACATTTCTTATTGAGTTTTAACAAACCCTTTAAAAAAGTTTTTTTTTTAGCAGTTTCACCTTTTTTTTAAGTGTAAACTTTTTTTAACATCAAAATAAGAAAGCAGTGAAGCGCTGTAGGTTTTACAGTTACTTTAATGTGACCAGCTGGAAATGTTCTTTTTACAGAACCTTTCACTTGCTTATAGAGGAGACTTTCTGTGACATCCACATACAAGTGTGTTGAAGTCATTTCCGGGTAGTGATCTAGACCTGGCTGATCTTACTTCTCTCCCACTTTGACACAGGAGCACTGAGACTGACTCCAGCATTTCTACCACCAATTGGGCTGAGATCCACTATGTTTTCCCAGACCAGAAAATGAATGTGGGTCTGTCCTAGTGTTTCTGCCCCTGCTCCATACAGGGTCCACCTTGACTTATTGAGTCATCGAGGGAGCAAAAGTCTGGTGTTTTAGCTATATTAACCTTCATTAAATCAATTGCTCACCAGAGCTACTTTCCACTTATTTATTTATAGATTCCATTTGTAGAGCGCCTTTCACGTCGGGAGGACGTCCCAAGGCGCTGTACAGTTGGGTCAGGACCCGAGCAGCGGGGAAATGGTCAGGATGAGGGGAAGGAGGGAGCGAGGAGGGTGTAGAGAGTCGAGAGGGGAGCTGAAGGCACGGTCAAAGAGAAAGGTCTTGAGACTGGCCTTGAAGGAGGAAAGGGAGGAGGCGGAAAAGGCACTGGGGGATAGAGTTCCAGAGCCTCGGGGCTGAGAGGCTGAAGGCCTGGCCACCGATGGTAGGGTGGTTGGGGCAGGGGATGTGGAGCAGACTGGAGCCAGAGGAACGGAGGGTACGGGCAGGTAGGTAGGGGGATAGTAGGTCGGAGAGGTAGGAGGGAGCAAGGCCGTGAATGGCCTTGTAGGTGAGGATGAGGATCTTGAATTCGATCCTCTGGGGGATGGGGAGCCAGTGGAGGTGAGCGAGGGTGGGAGTGATGTGGTCGTGAAGCCTGGTGCGGGACAGTACACGAGCTGTAGAGTTCTGAATGACCTGCAGCGTGTGGAGGGAGGTGCCGGGGAGGAGAGAGTTCCCATAGTCCAGCCTTGAGGTGATAAAGGTGTGGACCAGAGTTTCAGCAGCGTGAGGGGTGAGGTAGTGCCGTAGTCTGGCGATATTCCGGAGGTGATGGAAGGCGGTGCCAGTTGTGGTGCGGATATGAGGGAGAAAGGACAGCTCAGGGTCGAACAGAACCCCGAGGTTCCTGACCGGCTTTGAGAGGTGGAGAGTGCAGCCTTGGATGCTGATGCTGTCAGCGCCAGAGGTGCGGAGGCGCTGACGTGAGCCAATCAGGAGGGCCTCAGTTTTACGCACATTGAACTGAAGAAAGTTGCCTCTCATCCAGGACTCGATGTCGGACAGGCAGGCTGTCAGGACATCGGTGGTCGTGGAGTTGAGGGTAGAGTTGGATGTCATCCCCATACATGTGGAAGTTAACCCCATGTCTGCGGATGATGTCTCCAAGGGGGAGCATATAGAGGGTGAAGAGGAGGGGACCGAGGACAGAGCCCTGAGGGACACCGCACGAGACAGTGCGGGGGCTGGAGGAAAAGCCGTTCGTGGAAACAAAGTGAAGACGGTGGGAGAGGTACGACCTAAACCACTCAAGGACAGGGCCTTGAAGGTTGAGGTGGGAGGACAAGCGGTGGAGGAGGAAAGCATGGTCGACCGTATCGAATGCTGCCGAGAGGTCGAGGAGGACGAGGAGGCAAAGGGAGCCTTGGTCACAGATGGTCAGGATGTCATTGGTGACCTTGACCAGGGCAGTTTCTGTGCTATGGGTAGCACAGAAACCCGACTGAAGGGGTTCGAATAATGAATGGGTGGAGAGGAAAGAGCGCAGCTGGGAGGCGTTCAAGGGAGATGTCACCAAAGGGGAGCATATAGAGGGTGAAGAGGAGGGGACCGAGGACAGAGCCATGAGGGACACCGCATTCTTAAGAATAAAGTGGGGTGAAATTTGAGGACATATGGAGACTGAAAGAAATATTTTACAGCTCCAAGAGGGTGAAAAATTTGAGGTCTTTTGCTTAAACTCTAGCTTGTCTAAAGCCAGCCATAACCTGACACTCACATATAAGTTTGTTCGCCTTCAAAATACAGTCACCACACTGTGTAGTAAATCCAGTGAGGCACTTTGAAACATCCTCCAATGTGAAAGACGCTTGATCAAATTAGAGGACTATTTATTTTTAGGTATGTTTTATTAATGCTTATTTTGCCTGAGGTTCTGTATTTTATCACAAGCACAATTCAAACCCTGATGTATGCACTTTTTTTGATCATTGTAACATACTGCAACTTCACTCAGTATTATTTATTAAATTTATTTCCTCGCATCCGGAATAAAATAAACACATTTTAACCATTTTCAGTATATAAATGTTCCCATTTGACAGCTGTGTAAAGTTATTAGTCTTTTCATGTGATTCAGATTAAAGTATTCAATAATGATCTCTAATTTTGGACACATCACTGTTAAGTAATTCCATCATTGTTTACACTGTGTTTTAAGCATGGGTGAAACCATTTGATAATGTGTTCTTATGTACTCACAGTATTTTATTGGACAACGAGAGGAATTTGAAACGACTCGTGAGAGTATCCTAGTCTGGTTGACAGAAATGGACCTGCAGCTGACAAACATTGAGCACTTCTCAGAATGTGACATTCAAGGCAAAATTAAACAACTCAAAGTAAGTTTGCTTCCCATGTTGGGCAGTTGGTTTTGTGCTCTCAGTTCTTTGAACTAAGTGTATAAAAAGCATTATCGCTGGGCTTGGTGTTTGCACACATTCTAGGGACAAGTCCTGGGTGCTTGTAAGTGGAATTCTTGTTCCATTTTACAAAAGCAAACTTCAGGATATATCTTAGATTACAAAATTGCAGCATTTCTTCAATCCCTAGAATGTGTGCAAATTCCAAGCCCAGCGATAATGCTCTTCCAAGCCAAAGAGAAAATGCTTTAAAAAATCATGAAATCCTAAGTGAATTGGACCAGATTTGGGAATTTACCAGGTCATCTAAACCTGCAGACTTGAGTTCCCGCCAGTTTCATTCTGGGTCAGCGTTCAAATGGCCTAGAAAAGAACAATGCAGGAAACCTTAATCCATTGTTCAGTTTTTCGCTTCCTAGGGATTGTCTCTGGACAAGTCCTATAAATACGTCTGTTCTATTTTCTGTCTATAGGCATTTCAGCAAGAAATCTCCCTCAATACAAATAAGATTGAACAGATCTTCACTCAAGGAGAACAGCTGATTGAGAAGAGTGAGCCTCTGGATGGGACAATAATCGAAGAAGAGCTTGATGAGCTCCATCGCTACTGCCAAGAGGTCTTTGGGCGAGTGAACCGTTACTACAAGAAACTAATGCAACTTCCTGTAGGTGTTGTCTTTCAATGAAACATCATGGTGTGTGTGGCAAGGAGAATCCAATAGTGGCCAGGCATTTCTTACTGAATCGCTCCCCCACCCCCCCAAATATCTGATTCCATTTTTCAAGCCTTCACTAACCAGGAATTCACAATGAAACAATACTTATAGATTTTTAGGTCCACAAATGAGCAATGCTAATAGAGATAATGGAACCTTATCTTAAATGTGAAGTGTTTTATATTGTCAGTGAAAGGCGCTATACAAATGTAATCTTGTTGTTGTTGTTGTATGGTAACGGGGTTGGTACATGTTGCACAATATGTAATCCGAGCAGAAGACAAAGAATGTCTCGTCATGGGCTTCATCTTATATGCTGCATTTCCTGGGGGAAAGCTCTGCATTGAGAATACAATGCAATTTACACTTATACAGTGGGTTTCACATCTAGGATATTACAAAGTGGTTAACATTGCTAGCTGGAGGTGGGAGAGAATCCCAATGGTACTTAGTAACTTTAACTTTCAGATAAAGCGAGCGTGTGTTTTGAATAGAGGCAATACATGCATGCGCTTTTCAAATTTCAAATTCTATTCATTTAACAAAACAGATTAGCAATTACTGCACAGTCAACTATATAGTGTACACTTACATATTGTACTACTGTGTTATTGCTAAGTCACATACACTAGCAGTATTCAATTGGGAAGCTGACGTATTTATATCATTGCATTTATAGCCCTTGCAATCCGTAAAGCTATTATGATGTGGAGCCATCCGTGGCTGTTTATAGAGCACAGATTGGTTTGCGTTTACAGTAAATCCACAGTGGTGTGCATGTGGAAGTGAGTTGAGTTCAGATTTCAGATGACTTGAGTTCAGATGAGGTGAAATAAGTTGGAAGTTGAAGCTGTGCCTACACAGTTCAATTATTGTGCAAGTCCTAAGTAGCAGCATCTGCAGATTTTTTTCATAAAAGGTTATATGCATATCCAGCATTATGTGTGAGTGTTGGTTTTATTGATTGCTCTTTGTACTATGATAATGGCAAAGATCTTTTGTGATCGGAACACAAGTTTGCAGAAATGTTAATTTCATCGCCATCTTTCCTCTCTACTCTTCCCACCCCCCCCGCAGCTGACTGATGATGAGATGTCTGACAGGGAGACGGACTTGGATGACAGCACTGACCTCTCGAGCTTAAGTTGGCACGACAGATCTACAGACAATGCAGCGTCCAATCTCTATGGAGTGAGCAGGTCTCTGCCCATGATGCAAAACTCCAGAGACACTCGCTCGGGGCGGGATACTCCAGCCAGTGTCGACTCCATCCCATTGGAGTGGGATCACGATTACGATTTAAGCCGAGGCTTGGAAACTGCTGTAGCACAAGCGCTTATTACTGACAAGGAGGATGTGCTCGAGGATAGCGATGACTATTTCCAAGGAGCTGCTGAAATCACAGGTGAGGAGCCAGTAGGAGAAGCTGGAAGCTACAAGAAATGTTTTGTGTGTGTATTTTGGGAGTGACCAGTGTGTCATGGGTGCCACCAAACTATTTAAATGAATTGTGAGTTTATCCCTTATTGACATGCATGAAATTGCAGTTTCTGAGACAGTGGTTCAATATAGAATACCTGCTGTAAATTATAATATTAATAACCCTTGCATTTGGCATAGCGCCTTATCACGTCGGAACGACGTTTCAAAGTGCTTCACAGGATTTATTGTGAAGTGGATTGATTGCGTATTTGTAGGTAAACCTGAACTCATGGTTTGTGATTTTAGACGATCATTAACCTTTCACATACTCATACACTTATTCACTTAAATAGTGAATTCACTTAAATAGTGAGGACCCAGTTAATGTTCATAGTCTACCACTGCAGCAGAAAATAAGGGGGATTTTTTTTCTATTCGATTGTTCCAGAAAATCATATGTTCAGAAATTTGCAGACTGAATACGCCACTTTATAACAGTACAACAATTTACGGCAAATTTCCAAGCCAATAAGCAAGCAGCATCATAAAGATCTGCAATGATATAATGAACTGGTGGTAACTGCCTCGATAGGCTGAATGGCCTCCTCCTGTTCCGATGTTCCTATCGAGAGGAATATTACTGGTTTGCAACATAACTCTATTGTGGGCACTGAGGAATCCTAATTTCTGATTTTAAAATAATATATTTGATGGGGTAGCTAAGCAGTATTTTGCACAAAACTAAGAATGTTTTGATAAGCCTTAAAGTCTCGGCAGGAAGTGCATTTATTTAACTCTTCATTCAAAAGTACCGTTTCCACCAACTTCAGAGAGCCCAGATTTGACATGCAAATGAGAAGCTATTTGGCCACAGAGCAATGCACCAAGAAAGTAGAACAAGAGAACGGGGCTGCAAGTTTCAGCACAGGCAGCAGAAGTATTTCAGTGGTTAAATAATAATTGGATTAAGTTATAGGAAGGGTGGTGGCGGTCAGGATGCTGGACTCATTTAAAACAGCTTGATGCTATGAAGGGAGGACAGTGGCATTGGGTACTTTGGAAGGGAGAGAACATCTCTTTGTGAAGTGGCAACAATGCTCAGTTCCAAAAGGTAATGTTTATTGGTGGCGTCTGTTGTAAATTATTCGTTGGTGGCTTCCCAATCCAGTCAATTTTCATCGTCTGTATGTGCAACACAACACAATTTACATTTATACAGCACCCTTTCACGTGTGGAGGATGTCTCAAAACACCTGAAATAATGAGGCTTACATTTGATATAGCACCTTTCATGTTGGGAGGTTATTTTGAAGCATTCCCCGGCTATGCTATAAAGTCGGGTGCTTGTGCATTTGTAGACAGATGAAGCAGTTGATTTGTGAACAGCAATATCCCACAAAAAGCCATGAAGTGAGTGACTAATTTTATTTAGGGAATTGCTGGGCAGAAAACCAGGGAAAAATTTTCTTCACTGTTTGAATAATGGTATGAGATCTTTACCATCCACCTGATTAAGCAGACTGAGATTTAACGTTTCATCTGAAAGCCAGCACCTCCAACAATGTAGCACAGCCCAAGCACTGCGTTGGAGAGTTAACATAGACGATATGAATTCCAAGTCCCGAAATGGGCTGTCAACCCGCAATCTTCTGACTCTTGAGGCAAAATTGCTATTAACTGAGCCAAGCTGTCACCTGACATGAGCACACAATGTGTTTAATAATAATAATAATAATCCTTGCATTTGATATAGCGCTTTTCACGTCGGGAGGACGTCCCAAAGCGCTTCACAGAACATACTGTAAAGTGAATTGACTGTATATTTGTGGGCGAACGCGGCAGCCAATTGCGCACAGCAATGTCCCACAAACAGTCATAGATTGAAAATGACCAATTTATTATTGTTTTTGGTTTTTTGGAGGGATTATTATTAGGCGTGTGGAGTAAGGAAACTTGCCCAAGGTTTCGCCCTCTGCCTGGAAATTTGAAAAGTGTTTGAAAAGTATTAAGTATCTACAGCCTCAGAAAAAGAAAACATTCTACCAGAAAATGAAAGTACATGATTGTCAACAGACTTGTATTCTGTAACTATGGTGCAACAATCTACAGTACAACTTTATGAAAATAAATCATCCCAAATTCATACAGTTGAATCATCCTGAAACTCAAGAAAATGCTTATTTGGTACCATTCTGAATAAGTGAAGACAATGAGCATCTTTACACCTGGATGGCTTGGGACCCAATTTAGTCCCTGTGCTGAGAATATGGTGAAATTGTACCCCCAGGATAACTAAACTTCTTTTGTCACTATTTGTCATTTGAGAGAATCCAAACCCTAACACTCTGTAGGAAGAGCCTATTGTGAACATGAGATTGAAAATGATTAATCTGTGGCGAGTGATGGTTAGAGCTGAAAGACAACTTATTTGTGACTTGAGATAGAAGAAGACCCTGAAGCTTTGTGCACAAAGCGACATACTGATGGCGACCTATTGGACTGCACATGATCAAGAGCAAGTCAGAGCCTGAACTTGTGCATGGATTTCACCTTAGAGTTGCAGGTCTGAATTGAGAGACCACTTACTGTGCTTAAGTTTGTCACTTACATCCACCCATCCTTAAAGATTGCTTCTCAAATCCATATTGATACCGAGCAAGGACCCAATGATTTCTAAGTACTGCTCCTTTGTTTATCTTTAGAGGATATGAAAGCCACTGAGGTTTATTGTGCTCAGACTTGTGTTCACTGACACATCTGCTGTGAAACAACAATCTACGCTGGTGGCTTTGTTTCATTCAAGCAGTGATCAGACTGCAGAAAGAAGAGGCGCGTGAAGCTAGTATCCAGTGCTGATTCTGTAGCTGTTCAAATTGTGCTTTTATTTTTACAGATGTAGTGATCCCTGAAAGCCCAGAGGCCTATGTAAAACTGACTGAAAGTACTTTGAGATCAACCTCTGGTAGGCATCAGTAATTGAAGCATGTCTGACCTCCCCACCAACCCCACCAATCAAACCCTTAGTCATCCATTTGCAAACTGACCTTACATAAACCCTTACCTGACCCCTGATTTGTATCTCATTGCTTGAGAAATGCAAATCCAACAGTGAAAAACACTAACCTGTAGCTAACATTGTTAAACCTCTGGGAGATTGCAACCAAACCGCAGTGCATGCTTATGGCTTTGGAGTTGAGATGTGCCTGCACCAGGTGGGTATTGGTTAGTGAGAGTGCATGTACTGAATCTTCACTGTTGTTGCAATGGCTGTTCTAATGCTTAGCAGACAACCATTGGGTACCAAATGTTAACTCTTAGCACTTGTGTCATCAAAGTGAACTTGTAGACATCTTCCCCATTTCACTCTTTAATTAAAGTTTGCACCCTCCTATTTATTAGCCATGTGTATATCTCATGTAGGTGAACCAGGTTCTCTGGAAACCCACATCCTCCAGTTGGACAAAGCATTAGATCGCAGTCGATACCATCTACAACAGACAGAAAATGTCATTCGCAGCAAAACGCCCACAGGCCCTGAGCTAGACTCCAGCTACTGGGGATATGTGAGTATTCTTGTTACTCATTCATTTCCAGTTCAACATCACACACTGTTTATGGGAATCTTTATTGTTGTCTGCGGATCAGTGAAAAATGTAACATGCTGTGCACATTTCTTCATATAGATCTCCCCCCCACTTCTAGCTGAAGCTGGCTGTACTTCTGCACAAAGATATTATTTCAGAATCTAAACTGCAGAGATTTACCTGGTAGATTGACGATTTAAAGAAATTCTCCCCCCACCCCCCTCTTTATATTTAGTAATAATTATAAAATAATAATGATCATTGCTTTTGATATAGTGCCTTATCACATCATTGAGACATCTCAGAGCGCTTCACAGAATTTTAATGTGAAGTGCAGCAGCAGTATATTTGTAAGCAAACATATATCCCATGTATTTGTAATGTCTACAGGTGGACTGGGTCTGGAGACATTCTATTAACATACATTGGGAGGAGAGGATTCTGATATGTTTTTGATATGAGGGTGTATCGAGCCTGTAACACCAAATGGCTCAGATAATTTCCTACAACACGAGAGTGAAAAAGATCAGTCTATCTAAATGATCCCAGTTTTGTGCTAATGCACTCGGCATCTTGGTGGAAACATTTAAAATAGTGACACCCACCCCAGCCAAGGCCCCCATAATTTTATGAAACACTACACTTTGTGCAAGCAAAACACCTTCTTTGTTTTTGTGGTTTCTTGTTTGAACTTTGCCATAAGATTTTAGATCTTGCGTCCAACCACCCATTTATTTGTGTCCATCAGTGTTGATTTCGGTCACATTGTCATTTTCTAGTATGTGATGAGAAAGTTTCTAAAATGTTCTTTTTTTTAATGGAATTTTAACCCCCTTTCATTCATGATGGGGTGGAGGTAATTCATTTGGAAGTCCAGAAAGTTGCCAAGTGTTTTGATCCTGTTAAGAAACATTTGAAATTAGTTCCCGATATGTGCAAAGTTTTCACACTACATGAAAGGATAATTTTATCAACAAAGGTACGTTGTGTTAAATCAGCACATTGACAGCCTTGTCACTGTTTGGTAAATCACTATTCCCTTTACTTTGTTTTCTGTGTTTAATATCTGTTGTGCTCATTGATAACTAATTCCTTTCTCCAACATAAAAAGTTTCTGTTCAGCTTTGCCTAGTCCTGTCCAGATCAGCTTGGCCTGTTTGTTAAAGTAGATATTTTTTTTCTATGTTCCTGTTCTTTTGTTGCAGATGAAGTTGTTGTCTGAGTGCCGAGGTAGCATAGAGACTGTGAAAAGAGTTGGACAAAAACTCAAGGAGGAAGAAGATAAATTTTCTGGGTTTATTAACCTAACCAGCACAGAAAAACAGACTTCTGGTAAGGGAGACACTGATTTTTTCAAAAGAAATTGTAATAACAGATGAAAGACAAGATGTGTACTGTGGATTGATTAGAACACACAGAACAGGAAATAATACAACATCAAATTGACCTTGCATCTGATATAGCGTCTTAACACATTATCATCAATGTCCCAAAGCCCTTCACAGGATATACTGTAGGTTGAAGAGACTGTGTATTTTTAGGTGAAGATTGAAAGATAATTTGTGCAAGCAATGCCCCAGAAACATCTATGAAGTGAATGAGTAATTTGATCCGGAGGATTGTTGGCCAGGACACCGGGCGAAACTCCCTTTTCTTTGGAAATAGTGCCATTGGATCTTTTGCGTCCACATGAACAGGAGTATAATAATAATGCTTGCATTTTTGATATAGCGCCTTATTACGTTTTTGAGACATCTTCAAAGCGCCTCACAGAATATACTGTAAAGTGAATTGACTGTATACTTTGTGGGCAAAACGCGGCAGCCAATTGCGCCCGGCAAGTGTCTCACAAACAATCGTGGATTGGAGTGACCAATTTATTATTTTTTTTGAAGGAATTATTACCCCCAGAAAAACAATCCACCAATCAACTAACAATCAGGTTCCTACTTACTGCTCGGCAAACAGAGGCATTGGAGTGGAATAAGGAAACTTTCCCAACATTTCGCCCTGCCCGGGAATCGAACCCAGGTCTCTTGCTTGCGAGGCGAGTGCTCTAACCACTGAGCTACAGGACTCCACAATATATTAGCAACTGGAAGTATTAGGGTATATCAATAGGGTCTGATTCTCTATTGAACGGTAGGGGTAACCACTCCGGGCTGATGCTTTTGTGTTTCTCATTGTACAGGAGTGGTTGAACGCTGGGAGCTGATCCAGGCACAGGCCCTCAACAAGGAGCTGAGGATGAAACAGAACCTGCAGCAGTGGCAGCAGTTTAACTCTGACCTGAGCAACATCTGGAATTGGCTGGGAGAGACCGAGGAGGAGCTGGAGCAGCTCCGCAGACTTGACATCAGTACAGACATCCAGACCATAGAACATCGCATTAAAAAACTGAAAGTAAGCTGACACGGTCTGTTCACTGAGCAATGCTTCGCAGGCAGAAAGCCAACATGTGTTTGGAAGCCAACCACAGGAAGTTTGGATATTGCACGCAGTCTGAAATTTGCAAAAAATCATAATGAATTAACTGCAATGAGAATTTGTGAAACTTGTAAATCTAAAATCAAATGGGTATTAGGAGATAATATTCTTGAGGCATACAGCTGAGCAAACATGAAAAATCTATCATCAGGGGAGAAATAAATGCACTCCTAAACATATGTTTCTTTACTCCTATATGGAGACACTAACTGTTCATTCATTCTATTATTTACTTGTTTACACGCACACTCTCACATCTACACACACACACAGTCACCATCAATCTTGGCGATGATCTTAGTTGCTAGATAGAAGTTTAGTCATTAAAAAAAATTAATCATGGCTCTGAATTATCTCCTTTACATATTGGCTGGCAATTTCAAGCTCTACTTTGTGTTTTCTTTCAGGAACTGCAAAAGGCAGTCGACAACCGCAAAGCCATCATATTATCTATCAACCTGTGCAGTGCAGAATTCACTCAGTCGGATACCAGCGATGCCCAGGAACTTCAGGAACGCCTGAGGCAAATGAACAAGCACTGGGACCGAGTGTGCTGTCAGCTGGATCACTGGCGCACCTCTCTCCAAGATGCCCTCATGCAGTGTCATGTAAGTCTTGCCAACTAACTCCTACAGAGTTCTTTAACACCAAATCATAACCTGATCCTTACGAAAGGCCAAGATTAAAGCAAGGTTTTATTTAATATATTGAGATAGTGGGATATTAAGTAACTGTAAATGGAAATTTTTGGTTTAATTTTTAAGACCTGTATCTTGCTGATGTAAATTTGTTGGTGCATGGACTTTGTTTGTTTGCTGCTAGTGTTTCCTTCCTGTGGCTTGCAGGACTTCCACGAGATGAGCCATGGGCTGTTGCTCTGGCTGGAGAATATAGACCGAAGACGAAATGAAATCCTACCCATTGATCCCAACCAGGATCCAGACACATTGCAGGACCACCACAAAACCCTGATGGTAAGACGTGAATTAAAACACCAAACTGTCCAAGATCAAGGACAAGCGATTCCGTTCACCAACCTGACCATTCTACTACTAACTTAACTTACCACATCAGGCATTCAGTTTCTTTTTGAGTCTGGGCGTGAATAGATGTGCAAGACAGACAGGTCAACGGTGATAGACTGGAGTAGCTGATTTTTGCAAAGATAGCTTGTCATGAAGGAGACTTTAGTATCAACATTGACTTCTGAATTGTATTAACTTTAGAACTGAATTTCAAAGATAACTAAATTCCATCTTCAGTGAGTTTCACACACTGTGGAGTCCTGTAGCTCAGTGGTTAGAGCACTCGCTTTGCAACTGAGAGACCTGAGTTCAATTCCAGGCAGAGGGCGAAACCTTGGGCAAGTTTGCTTACTCCACACAGAGCCTAATAATAATCCCTCCAAAACCAACAACAATAATAAATTGGTCATTTTCAATCAACGACTGTTTGTGGGACATTGCTGTGCGCAATTGGCTGCCGCGTTCGCCCACAAATATACAGTCAATTCACTTTACAGTGTGTTCTGTGAGGCGCTTTGGGACGTCCTCCCGACGTGAAAAGCGCTATATCAAATGCAAGGATTATTATTATTATTATAAATATTTTTATGCTATGGACAGATATAATTTTCCAATTTTACTTCTTGCAAAAGCACAATGGCTCCATCTAGTGGTCTTTGTGCTGAGACATAAATTCATACCACATTGCACTGATGCTTTTGATACTAAGTACCATTTGAAGTGGTATCACCACATTAATGCCTTTAATACCTTCGGTGATTAATGTTAAATACTTTGTAAAGTTCTACTCAATTGAAGAAATTGCTGCTCCGTGCAGTGCATACAGTAGTTTTGAATATGGATTGTAGAGTTTACCAAGATATGAAAATCTCTAATTTTGTGTTTTGATGTAGCAAATCAAACGTGAGTTGCTGGAGTCCCAGCTGAAAGTAGCATCCCTTCAAGAGCTGTCCGGCCAACTACTAGTAAATGCTGAGGGTAGAGATTGTCTTGAGGCAAAGGAGAAAGTTCATGTCATCGGGAACCGCCTGAAGCTGCTTCTGAAAGAGGTCATCCATGACCTGAAGGACCTAGAGAGGCTGCTGGATATCTCTGGCAGTCAACTAGTAAGTAAACCCTACAGTCACACACACACACTCACACAGGGGTAAGGGGTAATAGAATTGACTTGTGATATTAAGCTGCTGTTTGCATCCAGTATCTCACTTCAAAAGCAGCGTTGTCTTAACAAAATCATCACAAGCCTCTCTTCTTCAGGTAACAGAGAAGGAACAGCAAAGACTTTTTGTTACAACTGCATTTTGTGTTACAATGTAGATTTGGGAATGAATGTTCATAAATTGGAAATTGTAATGGTTAATGCTGACAAACTAAAAATGCATCATGCCTCATTTTACAGATTTATAAGCTCATTTTTTGGACAATACACCCAATAAAATGTTGTGTTGGGGTCCATGTTCGACGCAATAAAATAAGCAAACAATGTTGCAAAATAAAATCTTATATCTTGTGCACCTTTTCCGCCTGTCAGATCCTGTACTATCCCAGCCCCAAGGTATTTTTGCAGCCCTCCTCAACCATCAGATAGTTGATGTATTTAGAGACATCTTGAAACTTGCTAGCAGGACTCTCTGGTTTCTTTTAAAGGACCCTAACAAAAACTTGGAGCCTTTAAACATGGGACACTGCTGTGCGCAATTGGCTGCCGCGTTTCGTCCAGAAATATGCGGTCAATTCACTTTACAGTCTATTCTGTGAAACGCTTTGAGACGTCGAGAAGACGTGAAAAGCGCTACATCAAATGCAAGGATTATTATTATTATAATATCAAATGAATAATGGTGTATTTTTAATACGTTTGATACCCACTGTGTTTTGGAGACCTGGCTTTAAGACATTGTTCTTTGTTCTAGGATCTTGCGTCTTGGTCTTCAGCAGATGAATTGGACACATCAGGATCTCTGAGTCCTGTGTCTGGTGGAAGCACTCCCGTCCGTCCCCGGCTGGTAATTCAACCTCCCCGTCTCTTTCATAAACATGGGGTGGGAATAACAGATACATTAACCTAGTGCCTGACTGCTGCTCTGGTGGCATGATTTCGTGTATGGTATCCTGGTACAAAGGTCCATGAAACAGGAAGTATAGCTCATCTCACATCTTCACCCTCTCTCCTGCTTACCCCACTGCATGGAATTGAGGAAAAAAAGTTTGAAAAAAAATTTGGTTGAAAGCTATTTTGATTTATTTTTAAATTTATATATTCAACTTTCCTTTGTTCTGAGCAGTATGTTTATTGTTTGTTCTTATAAAGCATCTGATATTTCTGTCTGTTAATCTACCCTAGTTGTTTGAATTGATTTTTTCCCTCCATCCTCTATTGTCCTTTAGATCCTAGTGGCAGATGTTTTAGAGAAATACTGGCTTTTCACAGCACTCTGAATAGCAACAAACACCATACAGCTGACATATAGCAGTTATATATTGCTGTGTACGGAAGGCCCCAAATCCACCTATTCTTAGCTTGGAACACAGTATTGTCTTAACGTTTAGGATCCTGCAGATTTCAGTCTAAATTCAGAAGCCGGTTGTCTTTAGTACTTTAAAACAAAAAGTATTTGGAATCTTCCACAAATCTAATTGATATTAAATTTTAAAACAGCGTCTCGCAGGTTAAGACTAGCTAAAATTTGGGGCATCTTACTATTCTCGATTTAACAAGGATATAATGAATCACGTCACCGCATATTTTTAAAATAATCTGATGCAAAATATAAATTTAACTAATTTACATTACTTACTATTTATTATTTAAGTTTGGCAAGTTTCCTTGCTCCACTCACCTCTGTTTACCCAGCAGTTAGTAGGAATCTGGTTGTTAGTCGATTGGCAGATCACTTTTCCGGGGATAATAATCCCTTCAAAAAACAAATAAAAAATAAAAAAAAGTCACTCAATCCACGACTGTTTGTTGGACACCACTGTGCACAATTGGCTGCCACATTTTGCCCACAAAATATACAGTCAATTCACTTTACAGTGTAATCTGTGAAGTGCTTTGAGACATTTCGGAGACATTATGAGGCGCTTCATCAATGGCAAGGATTATTAATATTATAATTATTATTATGAGTTTAGTTTAAGAAGGTGCCAAATTGAGACAAAGAGCAGTTCTCACTCCCGATGATGCAGTGGGCAAATCATGAAGTGATCTACTCTTGAGCCGTACACACCTAGGTCCAGACTTAGGCTGAGCTCAACCAAGATAGGCAGGCGGAGTTCTGTTCTCTCCCCTTCCACCCACCCCGCAGTTTAATATTCCACTGATCAGCTCACCCTCCAAACTCACTTGGGAAAGGTTCTGGTATCCAGGAAATTGCCTCCCAATCAATTTAAACTATTCTTTTCCAAAGGCCAAGGGCAAAGAAAATGAGAGCATAAAATTGTTTTTTTGGCCTTCACCTTTGTAATCCATTTATCCATCAGGTTGTTGGGTTGAAAGCCTTTTTATTTCCCCCCCCAACCCCCTCCTCCCCCGCAAAACTTTTTTGGTTCCTTTTTTCCTTTTTTTTTGGCACCTTCTTTGGCCAAGTATGCAGCCTGGGAGCTGGTGCCAGGGTTTCTAGGAGGTCTGTGAGAGCAACCAAGCCTACGAATCACAATGCCTTTTTCCATGGCTCCACTTGGTGCTCTTTCCACTGGCACTGTTGGGATTGGGAACTTGAGTGTGTGATAAATCATGGACATGATCGCACATTCAACAACACAGAGGAATGCAGTTTCAGCATAAAACGATAGAATGCTGGCCTGGCATAAAAGTCTTAAGATCGCTGAGGATCTTAGCTGAATCACTTTGGACTGATTTCCCAGCAGACGATACTCCACTAAACCAACCATTTCATAAACTTGGTACTGGATTGCATAGTGAGTTGGCCAATTGTCTCACCACCGGATGCATGTCCAGTCTAGTCTGTCCTGGCTCCCGATCGCAATGTCCCCATAAAGCAGATATTGATGCTGCATTTATTGTGGCTGTGTCCACAATCAAAAGTATCCCATCCTTTGGCATTAAGTAAAGCGTGAGCTTTACGCTGCATCTGACTGAAGTGTGCTGCACTTTACCCAGGAGTGTTCAGTGACAGCAGTGAATAGCTGAAATTGTTAAGTGTTTGATTTCCGAACACTTTGTGCTTGAAAGTTCTCCAGCAAACCGTTCAGGGAATGCATGAGGCAATTAAATTTAGGAACCAAATCAAAAATTAGTTCAACTAAACATACCCTGCAGCAAGGTTTATGTACAACAAAATTATTTGCAGCAAAAATGTTGTTATTTTTAGTCTTAGTTTAAAATTTGGTTTCATAGTACCCTTCACGCGGATAGCGTGTGATTAACCAGCCTAATTCACGTAATGATATATACTCCATCCTTATCCCTCAGCATAATAAAATCTTTCCAATGAAACGTACACTAATACATGCTAGCAGAGTGCTCTCAAAACAGCATTGAAGTTAAAGTAAGCTGACTAAAGGCAATAGGAAAAGCCAGTTTTCTTGTTGTTATGGATATTATTTACCTCATCTAATTTTTTGCTACACTTTTATGTTCTGTCATCAGTAGCTTGTCTTTATTTGCCTGGACTGAACATTCTCTTTCTTTACCCCCCCGTTCATTGCAAACAGCCACGAGGCAAATCTAGCCTCTCACAGCCTGGACCCTCTGTCAGCAGCCCTCACAGCAGGTACCTTATTCTCCTGGTTTCTACAGTTTACTTCTAGAGCTTGGAGAGGATGATGGAACTTACCAAAGCATGCAGAATGCTTAAAGTGCCTCATTAGGAAGCACTGGCTTGCTGGGGTCTAAATTGTGGTGATTTGTAATGGGGATTTTTAACAACAACTCTAAGTTACCAATGAGGATTCCTTCCTGTAACGTGTAGTACATTGCATTGATCTGAACTAGGTCATTTCAGAATACAGTTCACAGTCATCAGTGTTATGTACTTCCAATTATTGGAGAGTCCCTGTTTGTGACTCGAGGCAGTTATTAAGGAACCCTGTTGCAATCCGCCACAAATTAGACTCCAGTGTGTGCACAGCTTGTAAAAAGTAGATAAGTTCTTCTGCTAAACTCCCATCGCAAATTGGAGATTTCTGTGGCTTTGTGATGCTTCACTGATTTTTGCATCGATTGATGTTTTTTTCCACGTTCAGAAATGAACTTTGTGCTTTAGTATGTTGAAAGCTTACTAAGTTTTTTTTTAGTATGTTAAAAGCTTTTTAACATAGTGAGATCATTATTTTTTTAAAACTGTACTCATAACATAACCCACTTTGATGCATAATATTATTTTGCAAAGATATTATGCATTTTACAGGCTACCAATATGTTCTTAACTGGTTTAAGAATTAACAAATTAAGTATCTTGAATAGATGAAAACTCACTGGTATGGCATTCCTGGTCCAGGTATAAAATGCTGCTCTAATTTCAGTCTGTCTGGATTGCAGCATTTTAATCTATAGCCTTCTATATTAAATGTATTACCAGATGATACCCTTTTCACCAGCTTCCATCATCTTCTTTGATTCTAGATTTTAAATGAAGCTAGTTCTTAGGTTTTACAGAAATGTAGCGCTTTATATACTCTAAAGCACTATCCTCTAATGCTTAAATGCTTTCGCTTCTGGTTAACAGGAAACTTAATTGGCTGCATCTATCCCCTCTATCCAGAACAGTCTAACCCTTGCAACCTAACCCCCGCCACAAGAGAGCAGAATTCAGCTACTGTACATTTCCACATCACATGGCTGTCTTCTCGTCCTGAATGTCAAATTTCTCCTTTTATTTCTCTACATCTTGTCTTCCCATTTGCTGTCTTCTAACAAATATACCCATATTTAATAGAGATGGGGAAAAATTCCATTTATCTGAGCTCAAAACAGCTAACCGTACACTCGGGTTGATTTGTAACGCCAGTGCATTAAATCAGCCCTGCGATTGCTTAACCTTTGTATGAGTCTATATGCCTGCTTTCAGTGGCTCTGTTCCAAGCACTCTTAGGGCATGCCAGGTTTAACAACAGCAGCAGCAAACCAGCTGGCCTTGGATAATCTAGTCGTGCTTTAAACCTGCTGAACAACTCTTATTCAAAGCTAATTCTAGCTATGGCAATATACTGGTACAGTAAGGTCAATGTGCTACAGTGTAGTTTATTGTTGTTATTATTATTACATGTTTTTTTTTTACAGTGTACAATATTCAATTTGTTATGTTGACAAGCGGAGAATATAAATTAGTTTCTACTGAATAGAGAAATCAATCAAACACGCAAGCCTGACAGCTTGTGGTCAGTATGCATGTGCATTATAAATGTTTGATCTCAAGCTTTACAAGCTATATCAGTGTTTGTTCTCCGATCAGAGTACTTTGTGTTTGATCTTGCAATGCATCAGCAAACCATAGCCACATATAATCTGGAATCCACATTAAAAAAGCATTGTTTCTAAAGTTCTGTAGCATGAATATCAGGAGTACAAGGGGTGATATGCAAGAAAATGATTTATGAAGGGAAGTGGAGGGGTACAAGAGGGTGGTAGATACAAAAGGCAATGAAAGCTAGGAATAATGGGGTTCAAATACTTCCGTTCTGAATTGTTAAGAAGCTGCCTTTCTTTGACTGAATTGGTTTAATGCCAACTTGCAAAGGCCACCTGAGCTCCTTCACTTTGTGTGCAGTGAGGGTGATCAGACTCGGCTCACAGGTAAAACTCGATAGGCCTAATCCAGTGAGTAGTGTGAAATTTCTGAACAAGGCTTTGGGCAGTTGATCGCGAATTGAGCATTACCTTTTCAGATCAGTTGTAAATTTTAGATAAATGTCCCATTCAGACTTCAGTGCTAACATGAGCGACGTTAGAAAAGGAACTTGCCCTTTGTGATACTTTCAGCCTTATCTTCTATTTTCATTGTAAAGCCACAACGCAGACAAATAGTTGCTATCATTGGTTTGGATTCCACACACAGACACCTCCCCCTCACCCTCAACCCCACCCCACAGAGTAAATGGGCCAGGATACTGGAACTGTCACTCGACAGTCTTCATACCAAAATGCTGAAAGTTCCACATACAAGCAATCCAATTCTAACAGGTCCCCAGTCCGTATTGCAAGCTAACATAGAAGTATGGCCTGACCTACTCATGTCACCTCTGGTGACTCGCCGGAAGCATTGCTGACGTCATTTCACGGAGGAGCAGTGACCTGACGCCCCGGAACTCGCACACATTTTAGCGCCAGGAGTGCAGGTTAGCCGGAGTCCAGAGTAGACTTGCATTCTAAACAACAATGTGCTTTACTGGGATGGGAGTGGGGGGGTCATTATCTTGGGGTTTCCCTGTCTGTATGGTTTGCATTTGTCTGGTATGGGATGCACACACTTCCCCTGAGGGATGCACCCTGCTTATTTAATCTCAAGGGAATTTAGATACAGGTTGGGAAGAGTGTACACTGAGTGCAGCTGAAGTTTAGCAAGCTAAAACCATGCATATTTGCCATTCCATAGTATTGGTAAGTTACCTGCTGCTGCTGCCATTTGGGAAGAATCTCAGTTACTGGTCTGCTCCTCTATGAGCCAGGCTGGCTGGTCCACCGTTATCAGTGCCTGGAGTACTCCTGACCCCGTCTTTATAAAGTGCTCCGAGATGCTATCCAAAGTGAAGGGCACTATATAAATGCATGTTGTTGTTTGGTGTAAGAGGTGGGAATCACACTTGCGCCTTTGAAAGCATCTGGGCATCCAGTAGTTGATACATGGCCCACTGCCCGGACAGCTCAGAACATCCATAGAGTAGCAGAATCTTGGGCTTGATTTCCCAATGATAAAGAGCTGGCTGTGTGATTAATGGAGAGACCCCCCCCCCCCCGATATTTGTGACGTGTGGATGGGCCGACCTGCCAGATACTGAATGATGAAGGCGAGCATGTGGATTCTCACAGCTGTGCTTTGTCGTGTTGTGTATTGCGGAAGAATAAATCCCGTTTTCCACTCCGCCACTGGAAGTTAAACAGTTTTGTGCCCACCATGTAAAGACAGCAATTTACATGCGTCATAGCTGGCTGAGCACCTGAACTTTGGGAGATTGGGAGGAGGAGGGGGGAATGGTCTCTATGAATTGTTTGTGCATCATACTGGGTGAGCAACATATTGAGAGTTCCTGAATTATGCTTCCAGAAAGGAGAAACTAGACTTTCAATTTTTAACAATTGGGAAGGTGATGTTTCGAGCAGATTTTTTTTAGTTTACTCGCTTCAATTTTAATTTGAAACCAAAATAGATTTTTGGCCTAAAATTCAAAGGAAAGAAAACTCTGCAGATTCTAGGAATCCGGAATAAAAACTGGAGAAGAGGTTGTAAAGTGAGAGCAGGTCAACAGTGGTGAGAAATCGTTTGGTATTTCAGGACCTGAAATTGACCTGTTATGAATGTCCAGGGTTTGCAATTCATCAGCGTGCCACTGAGAGGTGAGAAAGGTTAAGATCAATTATAGGACATGCAAAAAGCCAGCGACACCTTTGAACTTTGTTAAAAGCTGCTCTTTTTAAAATGGAGGCCCTGCTTAATTTTAATAAAATAACTGTTAGAAAGCAATTAAGTACTGCCTGTTCCTGTTGTGCCTGTTGCGTCTCATTAACTTCTGCTATTGGCATTCTCAGACAGTCTGAGGTAATGTATAATAGAACTTCAGCAAAGAACACTGTGATGCTGTTTAATGTGCCATGACTTTCAATGCTATAATGGATTTCTGAAATCACTGGGAGAGAACAGTTAAACCACATCTGTAAACTAAATCCTGGAGCACTGATGCAGTCACAGTCACACTCAGTTCTGCCGGGGTTCTTTTCTAAAGGAAAGATTACTCATTACAACAGGTTTTGAGTATTACGCAGGAAAGTTTAAAAGAACCATTTGCTTATGTTATTGAAACAGTTTGTTTTGTTGTGCAACAGACTTGTGTTGAAGACAATGCCACCATTCTTCCTGCATTAGTAACGCACTGAAGGGGAAAGAAGGTAACGGGTGTCATAAAGGGAGCAAATTTAATATGGGGAGAGGTATTGAACAGTGTGCCTCATGAGTCTGTGCTACAACTCCTCCCTCTTAATCCTAGTCTATATTAATGAACTCTGTTTGCAGACTGTGCAGACCTCTTTTGTGAAGAAAATACGAACCTCTTAGGACGGGGAGGAGCAGGGAAAAAAAGCAATCAGATTAAAAGTATTCAGATTAAAAACACAAAGACCACGATAGGGTAAAATAGAAAAGCTATTGCAACCTCACTTGCGAGTTTGTATCACCGAACTTTGTGATACAATATTGACATGAACAAGACTGCAAAAAAAACTTGACCATATCAGTGAGTTAACTATATTAATGGTGTTACCTTACAGTGAGTTTCCACTGTATTTGATGTCTAAGTAGTAATTTGACCCTCGCATAATTTAAATCTCAACATTCAGCATCAAAAGGCTGTATCCAAGAGTGACCCAAGGCTTGTAACTATGAAAACGCTGTCACTAAGACTCGCTGTGGAACAAGGGAGCTAGGAGGATTGTGAACAGGCACAAGGTTGTGCTGCAGCCTCATACATATTCAAAGAGATTTGTTACTGTATCTAATATAGTTTTCATTTGTTCAGTTCCAATTCAGAGGAGCAAAAAACATACTTGGTTTTGAACCAGTCTTAACAGACAAAACCGTGGAGATTGGATGCAAAAGGAAGGTTGTGTTGGATTTGTCGGGGTAGGATGTGACCAGGGAGGGGGTAGAGGGTCAGGGGTTGGGTACAGCCTAGGGTTAAGGTGGCACCAAGACAGCAGCAGCAACTACTACTACAAGCATTCATATAGCACACTTCATGCAAAATAGCGTCTCGGGGTGCTTAACACTTGTAGAAAAGAGCAGAATAAATATGTTAACCCTGAATGACCATTAACTGTAAGACACGGCTTGGTGGCTGATCACTACTAAGGCGCAGTTCTCAGAACAGGGATAAATGTGTTGCCCTGTCTAATAGTTTTCTGACAGTCTTTCTGATAACTCATTATGCTTAGGCTAAAGTTGGATGGCTGTGTGTCTGTGTGGGGAGCTGAATGTGCCTATTAGCAACAGATGACATCAGTGAGGCTGCCTGTTTGCGCATTAAACATGCAGGGTGTGATGTCAGTATGGCCATGATAAACCAGGGAGTGTTCTAACAGGGTCAAAGAATGCATGGTCAGTTTTTTATTTAAAATAACTGATTAATGTTGAGATGGGTATCAATGAAAGATTTGCCATGATAAAATTCACCAATCGTGGCATAACAAAGATGGCTATGGTGGGGATTTAATTATCTTTCATCTGGTATTAAGCAGGCAGACGCAAAGCATTCTGATTTGCCTCAGAATTTGTCAGTGCTTTTTGATGCATCTTAATTTCTTCTTGTTGCTGTGTTGGACCAGCATCAGTAGGAATATTGTTCCTGAGATCATCTGGTGACTGGGGACAGTTTCCCCCTAATTGCTGTATTTGCGGCAGGAGCATTGTGGAGTGTTGCACTGTGACCTGGTGATTGGGAACCCCTTGTTGCGTTGGGGTGAGGGGAGAACCTGGGAAGAAATTACCTGAGGTAACCTGGGAATGGCACCACTCCCAGTGGGCAGAACTCTCAATCACCATCACCTCTATTCATGGTGTAATTGATGAAGAGTAACATTTGGAATTGTCGGTAAGATGACAGAAACGGAAGTTGAGTTTCACTTAACATTTATCAGCAAGTTGCTTAACAGTGAAGCACCTCTGGATTCCTAGTTTGAGCAGGTTAGTAATCCATCAAGTACAAAATGAAAGCCGGAGAGATGCTTTCTGCAAATCGTGTCCTGTAGTACATAACTGGAAGACTTTGCACCCCATGGATTAGCATTACTGGTTCAAGCTGATCTTTGTATTTTTTTTCCTCCTTCAGATCCCACGAAAGAAATCTCAAAGGTTCTTCCCATTCTGAGCAGCAGGGAACCCAGCGGAAACCTTCCTTCTTCCTGCGGGTGCTAAGAGCTGCTTTACCACTGCAGCTTTTGCTGTTGCTATTGATTGGCCTAGCCTGCCTCGTACCAATGACCGAGGAAGATTACAGCTGTACTATGTCTAACAACTTTGCTAGGTCCTTCCATCCCATGTTGAGATACACCAACGGCCCTCCTCCAATATAAGCCATTAGAATATGTAAACAAGTGAAGTCATTTGTGTAGAAGGCCTTTCTCACTAAGGAGGAAGAAAAGGCTTTCACTCTGTCTCATTGTGCTAGCACAATACCTCATTGGCTGGTCGGCCAATTCCTCCTTAAACCAGCTTGCAACAAGTACAGCTCCAAATCAGTTCTCCGTACCTGTCCCCTCCTGTGCTTAATGAATTTAAAGAGAAATGTAAAATATGATTTAAATAGCTTTTTGATGGTAATTATTTTTTTACAGTTTTGGTTTTGGCATGGCCATGTTTAACTGAGCTTTTAAAAAAATAATCCTCTTGAATGTCTGGATGCAAATTGTATAAATGTGAAAGGCACTTTCGAACCAGGGTTTAAATGAGGTTAAGTAGATTCTGGTGGTTTTTATGAAACTATTATTGGGGATAAAGTGGAGCAGGTTATTTATGTATGTACAGTTTGTTAAAGCTGATCCTTGTTTCTTTGCAATTATTATACATACTAATCAATTAAACTTGTGTTCTGGTTTATTTCTTTTCAAAGTCCACACTGTGATTTACACAGCTGTCCCTCCCTGTATTGTTTTCAGGATTTAGCTGAATGAAACCCTGTAAATTCCAATCTCTTAACTATGTTCAGAGCCCTCGATCTGAACACAATGATCCCAGATGAAACAAGAGATGATTAGTTTCTTCTTTATTAAGGGAAGATGCTGAACCACACAGTTGATCAACACAGTTGCTTTGAACTATCATGTAATGGTGACATTCTCAGATAATGGTCCAGCTATGATGAACATTTTTCTATCCAGGAGCAACCTCTTGTGTCTATAAATAAATATAGAAAACTGGTTCTTTGGGTGATGTACAGAACCAAACTTGGTTGCTGATTAAAAGTTGTTTGTTTCTTCTGCAGCCTTGCGTACTGATTCATGAATTGGAAGCATTCGCCCATTTTTGCTGTTCCTGCAAATTATTCTCATCGCTTTGAAACTTTATTTTTTTTAAAAAACTAAATCTTTTATGTGGTTGGCTTCCTTGTGTCTTGTGATTTTCATTGAACTGAAGGGTAGGCATCTGTCCTTGAGCCTTTTCAAATCCATATTTTATTTGCTCAATAACAGTCCAGATTGACTCAAGCATCAGTTTCTTCTTTCTGGAGACAGGAATGCTCAGAATGGTTCCTGCTGGGCTTGATGTGTGAATTGTAGGCTAGATTTTGTGTTGCAACAATCAGAATGTTGGGAGGACTAATGTATAGTAATTCCCCTCACACTCAGCACTTTCTACTTGGATTGCTCCATCTCTGAGCTCTCACTAGCAATAACTAGATAAGACCACGAGATAAGCCTTATAAGGAGGTGTAGTAAATGGGAGAGAAAAAGAAAACCTTGAGAAATATTTTCAGAGATGCCAGGGAGGTAGGACAAGAGGCCACTAGTTCAGGGTTGTGAAGGGCAATTTAGGACAGATGGTGGGAATTATTTCTTTACATGGAAGGGGAGGAGCAAATTGATGGCTGGATCCAGTTCAGAACAAGCCACTCATTGAAGTGTTGTAATAGGGTGAGTATGCTGGGCTGAAGGGATTTCTTCATGCATACCTCTTGTAACTGTTGTCCAAAATTCCAAAAAAAATTTAGTACTCAGTCTTGTATGTACCACAGAGTCTGATCAGCACATGCAGTGTCATTATTTCTGTTGAACACTGCTTCCTTATTTCATTATAAAAATAATATTGCTCTTAGAGTTCTAAACTTCAAACACTGACTCTTTGTTTGGAAAATATAACAACCCTTATGGTATAAATAAACATCAATATACTAACCTTCTCATGGCATGTCAGCCTGGTTGAGATGGTAGCACTTTCTGAGTCAGAAGGTTGTATGTTCAAGCTCTACGTTGGGACTTTGAATTCGGTCTAAGCTGACACTAATGCAGTGAAGTGTGGGGGTGTGGGTGTTTGGTTGCTGCATTGACATAAATGCTATCCTTTGGATGAGACGTTAAACCGAGGTCCTGTCTGTCTGTTCAGGTGAATGATAAAGATCCCATGGCACTATTTGACAAGAGAAGAAAGTTTTTCCTAACAATCCACAAGATAAATTTGGTCATTTACATATTGGCTGTTTGTGGGACAATGCTGGGTCCAAATTGGCTACTGTGTTCACTGACATAATACAGTCACTACACTTCATAGTAAATTCTGCAAAGCACTTTTGAAACATTTCAACGATATGTTAAGGTGCTACATCAAATATATTAACCTCATTATATAAATGTCTATAAATAAACTAATCTCATGATAGAAGAATACTTGTATCCAAGGGAGGTGGAAATTAGAGCTATGTTATATTTAATTAGTATTCGTAATTATATACTGCATTTTCTCCTCACAATGACGTGTTTATTGTCAGTGAGTTTAGCTGTGCAGGTAGGGTTCACTGATTGTTTTGATATATAAAAAATGGTTTTGGTGGACTGCCAAATGCCTTTCTACTTCTGGATATACCTGTGCAGTAGAACCGCCCTTTTCGAGTGTGTGTTTGTGTATTATGCTTTTAGAGTGCAGGTGTTTCCATTGTAACCTGAGCAAAGATTCTATCCCTTTTGACAACGTTCCCAATTTCTGTGCCAAACATTCAACTACCTGTCGTTGAATAGGTGCTATAACTTTTTTTAAAAAATTTAGCTGTACATGAGAAATGCTTTTCTTTCAATGTGAAGCATGTGGGGTCTGGGGAACAGTGCTTAGTGAAATGTAAATAACTAAAGACAGAAAATGTATTTTAAAAACAGAAACTTAAAGAAACTATTAGAGCATTCCAAACTAGAGATGATAAATCTGTCATTTATGCTCCAGTTTGGATGCAATGTTAAAGCTATTGATTAAACCACTAACTTTCTTGAGTGTAACTCACTGAAGGTTACATATACCCTTTATGTGTATGGTGTAATGCACTCAATTTAATGGCCTTTCCTAGTATATAATCTGCACCTGATAGAAACTGCATGACTCATTCTGTATGTTCTTCCTGGTGCCATAAAATTTAACTCATGTTGATAATGGAACAATCCTTTTTCTGACTTTGACTATGAAAAAGTCCAACCCCTTTGCAAATTGTGTGACATTTAGTGACAAGCAGAGCATTACATTCTGCTATGTGTATCCATGTTCGTGATAGGTAATTCACAGCAATCATATCCGTATTCTAAATTGTGGTAAGTAAGATTCTAAATGGGTTTGAGATAGAAAGCTAAGGACAATACATTCAGAAACTCCAAAGTAGTAGAAAGATGAGACAGCTTCAGAGTTTCAAAGGACAATTCCAGGGCAGAAACCAGAAAATATTTCTTTACTAAGAGGAAAACACACAGGACATTGCATGATTGATGAGGTCAATGAGACACTGGGATGAGATCAATGAGCCAAAGGTGATTTCGTGGTAAAAAGTTCTGTATAAATGTAATATTTTAAAAAGGAATTGTTGGTACAGTGCACCAACAAAATTGGGAAAATTGAAGCAAATTCAGAGATATTCTGCCCCCAATGTTCTAGTAGGTAAAAGTGCAGATGTGACACCTAGGCATTACTTCTCAGAAAGTTGCATGTCTGAATCCCATTGTATGCTACCTCAGCTAGTGCAGCATTAGAGGTGCTGAAGCCACTCCACGTGGGCGGGAAGAGTTGGCCATGTTTCTTGCTCATCATCGCTATCCAGTTACCCCAGCAAGAACGTTTGTGCATAAGTGAACGCCAGATGAAGGCAGAGTCAGACCCAGCTGAAATAGCTTGCCACCACTCACTGTCCTGAAGAATGGACACAGAGTTAGAAAGGACTCGGCAATGAGTCAGTGTCTTCAAAAGAGCAAAGGAAATTGGCAAGAAGTAGTGGTTGTTCGGGAATAAGTTAATCATTGGAGCAATCACCTTGTTCACCGTAAGGAAAGGTTTTGGATGGCTGCTGACTCCATCACATTAGTGTATCCTGAATGACCTCGTCTTGTTGCTGCATATTTAAGTTCCTATCCTCAGTATCACATTGAGGATTTATTAACTGTCTAGACATAAAATAAAACACTGCGACCAGCTTGTTAAGTCACAACTTTATTTCACGCATTCAATATGCAGGTAAATCATTCCACATGCATGAGATTTTCCTAAATTAAATCACACAAAAAAATTACAAAGAACAGTGTCAGCTGAAATAATGTATTAAGAAGGAATAAAAAGAAAAGTATTACAAAACACTTTTTGGTGCTACAAAGTGCCAAACCCTTCTTGAGAAAAAAGGGCTACCATTATTTAATAGGTAGTGCATTACAATAGGTAGTACAAACAATTAATGTCAATCTAGTTAGCATTTCAGTAAGGTAGTGCCTAGTATGAATTATGTAAATATATAACCGTAAGAACTTTGTTTACTCAGTAAAGTGATAAATCATGTGCTCCTTCGTAAGATTTGCATTTTTCAGAAGGATCTGTTTTGAATTGCATTTGGTGAGGCTAACTCTTGTGAGTCTCAAACTAGAAACACCAGTGTTGCATGTGGGAACGAGACCGAGCTTCCATCAGTGTGCAATCTGCATCTGTCTCCTCCACTATGTATTGCTACATCTGGGCAATGCCAGAATGCAATTCCCATATTTACATCCAATTTCAACGGCAAACCTCACTAAACACGGTGTAACCATGTTAACACATGGCAAACCCTCAAAAACACTGGCACAATTTTGTAAAAGTCATCCTTTGTATTATTCTCATTCATATTTCATGCTGAGTGAACAATACAGCACAAGTATGTAATCAAAATTTTCATTGAATTAACTCTTTATATTCATCATTGGATTGTTTGTACTTTCTGATTTATGTAAACCTAGGACAGCTGCAGCTTACACAGTGCCTGACATTCGTCAAAATTGTTGACCTAGTTTTCAACAGTGTTTCAATGCCAGTAGCACTGAGCTCTGTTTTTCAACACAATCTTTGTGCATCAGCTTAAAACAAATCCAAAAATATATATTTTCTCTTTGATTAATAACTGTCAATCTTTGGGTCTGTCCTTGACGGTTTTTTTGCACCAAAACCTAAAACAAATCTGAAAATAATTTGCTCTGCATATCTAGTATGCCAAAACATTTATTTTGCAAGTGTAACTTAAGAGTGCATTGCTGTGAGGAAAGTTTAGCAGAGCTGAGTTGGGGTAACACAAAGACTAACATCACAGACAATGGTTTCTCTTACAGATTATTATCAAAGAAAACATTTTACCCTCAATGCCTTGCTCACACAATACATTTAGTCACTCTTACACTTTGTTCTCATGCAAACATTCACATGGGTGGAATTTCATCACATATATAAGTGTAACATAAAAAAAGCCATTTAAAGCTGGAATTTACAGTGAATAATTATTTAGTGCCAATGGTCAGGCTCGACTGTCGAGGGATGATAGGGGTGGGGTTGGAATGGGGAGTTTTTGACTTTGGAATAATCCCAAGAATTGGGTTGTTCGCTCACCCCTCAGGCAGCCGAGCCTATAAACATTAAGGGACGTTGTCCAAATAAATCTTGCTGACTGGACTCTGCTGCATTTGGTAATTAGGACAGACTGAAATTTATTACATTTGGCAAAAAATATAATTTCCAACATATAAAATGAAGATTTTACTTGAAATGTCCCAATTAGATAATATAAATATTTTGTTAAAGGAAAAACATTCAAGAGAAACAGCTTTTATGGCACAGTAGAATAACTGCAACTCACTAACGCACATTTACATTTCTTTGGTTTCAACTGTGTTCATTTTTGCCGTAATATCACTTTTCATACAAATCACATACTACTTTTCACAGAATTTAAGATCATCCAACCAGCCATTATCAGGCAGATCCGCTTAACCTGAAGCCTCACAGTAAAGGTTGTGGTAGCTGGTTGATTCTAACATTGTGAACTTATAAAAAAATAACAGATTCAACTTTTGTGGCTGAGGATTTGATCCAGTTTCAACTCTGTAGATCCACTGTCCTGTCCTCACTTGCTTCATTTCTGCTTCAAACAGCACAGCGGGCTGAGCATTTCTTATCTGGACAACTCTGTTACAATAAAAACATTATCAGCTGCCTTTTAAAAAATAATCATCTAACAAAACACCATTTTCTGTAATCTTCCCTATCAAGCAATTGGATTGCATTTTAATAATATTTTGTGACTATATGCAGTGATCAGTAAGCTTATCTAGTAAGATGCAAAGCTATGTACAAATTGCAAGCTTTGTAAAATCTAAGAATGGGCAACATTTGAGTAACTGAGCTGTCTCCTCAATTTAATTTACAAGGTTTAAAAATGATTTGAGAACTATAGGCAAGGAATCTGACAAAAATATGTTTAAGAGCACTAACAGCAAATATTTAATGCATCAATAGCTTGTATATGAACAAAAGTGAATTGCTGACAAATAAACCTATAAAAATACATTCACTTGTCTGTTTAGATGAGCTATACAATGGCAATAGTCCATATCATACTAATGCCTTCTGAAGTTACATACTATTGAGCGTCAGTAATTTCAGTTTGAGAAATACTTTGCTTTGCATTATCCCTTGCAGTTTTGAATAACTAACCAATAACAAATTTACAAATGTGTATGCATTTCCCTTTACAAAACATGCCAAATGTTCTTGGGCTATTGTCATAGCCTTACGAAGATAAAGTACACAATCAAGAACGAGGCAAGTACATTTACATGGCCTAAAGTAGAACAAGTCTCATCCCCAGTACTTGGGACTGATCAATTTGATCTTTGTGACCAGGAAACTGACCATTCTACTCAGACCAACACATTGAGTTATTACAATCAAATTACAGTAAATGCAGAACTGAAAACAGCACAATATGAGACTGAAAGTTGTGAATGCTGCACGCGTTCTTTGCCATCTACAGTTTTTTTTAATATGCTACACTCATTCTTTTTGTTGGGCTGCACATTTTTTTGTTGTGCCATTTCAAAGGAATTTTCAAAACATTTGCACAGTAGTATTTTTGCAACAGCAGGTGTTAGCAGCCAACGAATCAAGTGTCACCTTTAAATAGCAATAAAATAACAGCACAGAGTGTAATCGGTCAGCTGAACGTACAACTTCTGTGCCAGCAGAATTACACCCTCGGGGAAAGGCTGCTTTCAAACCTGGGCAAGACGTCCACAACACCGGAACAGCATGAGTTGCCTTTCAGCAACATATGCAAGTTTCATACTTGCATATGCTGTGCTTCACTGCAACCTACAACAGTTCATTGTGTTAACCAACAGAGAGGTTCGTCAGAAGCATTTCATTAAGATTTTCATTATAGCAAATGTTTTCTTGCCCCAATGACATCAATTCACAGCAGCTATTACCAACGAAAAAGCACCAATTGTGTTCCGATGTCAGTAAAGGTATGTCCTATGTACCACAGCATACGTTTGTATTCATTATGAGGAACTGAAAAGGGGCACAAATTTGTTTCACTGGCACCGAACAGGTTGAACAAACAAGTTGAACTTGGTAATGTTTGGGGAACAGTGACTGAGAAATTCCACAAGGTCTGTTGTGCATTCCTGGTCTTCACATTATTCATGTACGATTGAAAAGCGATTATTGTAAGGTATGTCGTGCTGATACCAAGTTATATGAGCAGGGAAAGAATATGAGGAGATTATCCAGCATCAAAGAAGACATGAACCATTGAATCTTCTATGTTGGGAGGACATATCAAATGGCTTCAAATAGCTGACTGGGAACACCAAGCTGGAGGATAAGACATCGACTTAAGAACACACATAAGGATAGATGTAGACTGGCATGAATGCCTACTCCATGGAAAACAATGGTTTCTGTATCCCTGGATCCGGGAGAAACAATGTCTGTAAATCGAAAGAGGTCAGCGTTATAAATTGGAGATGTGAGAATCGGGAAATAGTCTGGATATGCTCAATTAAAGAGATCAGGAAGGAAGTGTTTGTGTAGAACTTTCCCCCCAGAAAATAGAGTCTGCTATAGGGTAGGTTTTGCATGGTCTGAGCAAGAAGTGGACTTGATGGATAAGTGACTTTTACATTTCAGGGTTCTTATCCACGCTGGGAGTAAACTATAATGCTGGAAGAGATTAAATAATGTGATCTGAATATCTCTTATATTAAGATCACACTGTTTAAAACTCAGTATTTGCCTCCAATTTCCACCCCTCCTCTGTCTCCTGCTCGGACGAATCAGGCCTGAGGTGTGGGATACAAGCTTACATTACACAGTGAATGTCAGCATTGTAATGACCCGTGTAAACTATGCTGGTGAATCTCGAAACTGCCTCCATGAAACACTCATGTCGCTTGTTGGATAATGAGCAGGAACAGCACCTTTAGTTAATTCTCCCCTCCCTAGCCTCAGGACACTAAATCCCCCACTGCCATCAGTTGCTGGGAGAAGGGGTTTAGCCCAGCAGTTGATTCATCGTTCACTAGGTCAAAAACCGGGTGAGTCAACAATAAACACGGCAAACAGAATGCTGGGCTACATTTTCAAATGAGTTGAGTTCAGATCCCCAGATTTCATGCTGAAGGTGTACACATTTTATTCCAACCACAGGGAAATTTCCATGTGGAGTCCTGTAGCTCAGTGGTTGAGCACTCGCTTTGCAAGCTAGAGACCTGAGTTCAATTCCAGGCAGGGCGAAACCTTGGGCAAGTTTCCTTACTCCACACGCTTAATAATAATCCCTCCAAAAACCAAAAACAATAATAAATTGGTCATTTTCAATCCACGACTGTTTGTGGGACATTGCTGTGCGCAATTGGCTGCCGCGTTCCCCCACAAATATACAGTCAATTCACTTTACAGTGTGTTCTGTGAAGCGCTTTGGGACGTCCTCCCGACGTGAAAAGCGCTATATCAAATGCAAGGATTATTATTATTATTATTATTACAGTATTCTGCTCAGGCAGCACCTGGAGTATAAAGAGCAACAAGGGTGATCTTCAGTGTTGAAGGGCTATTAGCAATCATCAGATAAGATAGGCTTATCAACCTTGAAAAGAGATCTCTCGGCTGGGACTTTTAGAGGTATATAAGATTTTAAATTGGATTGAGAAAGTAAAGCTAGAACAATACCTTCAGATATACAGAAGATGGCAAGACAATAGGAAACAGGCTTTGGGCTGAAAAGGGCAATGTCAGGACAGGCACCAGGAAGTATGTATTTACAGTGGGTAATTAACAACTGGAACAGGTTACCAGGAAGGTGGTTGAGGCCAATACGCTAGACTCATTTAAGAAACAGCTTCATGCTGTATTGGAGGAGAATAGTAGGGTGGGTATTCTGGAAGGATGAGATCAAATGGGACAAAAGGCCTTCTTCATCCAAAATTTCTCTTGTGATCTTGTGAAATTGGCCAAAGGGCCTTTTTCAACCAAATCTTTTTTGTAACCTAAATTATAATTATGTAAAAGATTACTGATTCATAATCCACTGTTAGTAGTAAAGACTTGTTCTTAGTTGTGGTCATGATTGCCTATTTCCTTTATGCTCCCCAGCCAGATAACCTACTCTCAATAATCCAAGTAAGAGTGACACAAATTGAAATAAATGTACTAGACATACTTTCAATTTCCGATGGACAGACATTTTAATCTCAGAATAGGCCTTTATAACTTGCAACACATCATAATGAACCTGAAACGACTCAAATCCAGGATTCATATGTTACTTTCTACAGATTGCCAAGCAACTTTAATATAATTGAAGGATTATAGATCTTTTCTGATGTATAAATAAATGCTAATCTTTTCAATATAATTATCTGGTTTCTTTTAACAGCGTGATTTCAATTGTAAGGTGTTCTATGCTTGCCTGGAACTTCTGCCTTCCATTTCAGCAGATCCTATTCCCAACATTTTACTCTAAAATAACATTGCTGAGAGAATAAGTACCAATGATTTCAAGTGGTACAATTGATTCTACTAACATTTTTTTAAAGATATATTTTGACTCATACATTATTGGATATTCTCAAACAAAAAGTGAAAAGCGCTATATCAAATGCAAGGATTATTGTTATTATATCATTTTTCCAATTCTTTTTGCAAATCAAGAAAATGAATTTCTCTTGTTAAACATCACCTTTTCTTTCACATATTTTATATCACAATAAAGAAGGTTGACTTCTGGGTCAAAAGGTCGACATTGACGAGTGCAAAGACATCCACCCAGGAGATATTAATAATAATTCTTGCATTTGATATTGCGCTTTATTACGTCATTGAGACATCTCAAAGCACTTCATAGAATATATTGTAAAATGGATTGACTGTACTTTTACATCTCTGGTGATATTATGAAAATCAGTTATTTGTATCAAAAAACAAAATAATAATGTACGTTGATACTGTCTAAATTTTTTTCAAAAAATCAAAATCAGGCAAATATATTCATAACCATGTTTCATCTAAACGTTGGGGCAGAAATGACATTTACCCAACAGCTAGTTCTACTTTGGTATTACAAGTGTTGAGCCACCACACCACAGAGAGAAAAGGCTTTAAGCAAACAAAATCATAGAAAATGCATTTGAATACCAAGATGCACTTGGTGTAATGATAATAATAATAATAATAATAATAATAATAATAATCCTTGCATTTGATATAGCGCTTTTCACGTCGGGAGGACGTCCCAAAGCGCTTCACAGAAGACACTGTAAAGTGAATTGACTGTATATTTGTGGGCGAACGCGGCAGCCAATTGCGCACAGCAATGTCCCACAAACAGTCGTAGATTGAAAATGACCAATTTATTATTGTTTTTTTTTTTTTGGAGGGATTATTATTAGGTGTGTGGAGTAAGGAAACTTGCTCAAGGTTTCGCCCTCTGCCTGGAATTGAACTCAGGTCTCTCACTTGCAAAGCGAGTGCTCTAACCACTGAGCTATAGGACTCCGAAATAATAATAATGGAAAGATTTTAAATGTCAATAAATTTGCAGTTTCTTCATTATTTAATCTCCCCATTTCACATTGCCTTTGTATCAAATTAAACACTTTAACACCTCCTGTCAAAATATTTGAAATTTGTTTGTCACCATTTAGCTGCATCATCAAAAATATAGTTAATTGTATCCAAATCCCTGACTGTCCAGCACTTTGGGACATCCTCCTGACGTGAAAGGTGCTAAACAGATGTAAGTTGTTGTTGTTATTGTCAATTTAATTTTAGAACTATGGAAAACTAGTTTCCAACTTTTGAATTCCGAATTTTAAGAATTTTCTGATCGAAAACATTTTCAGTCAATTGTCATAACCATGAGGCATTTTTTGTCTCTGCTGCCAGATTACAAATGAAAAGAACAGGAGTCATTCCTTTGAATGCTCTCATATATTGATCTCCTCCTCAGTTTGCATGTACAACACTAAATCGAAAGAGATGCCCTCCAAAGCACTAGCATAGAAGGCAGCTTTCTTCATAACTGAATGGAAATAACAAGGAAAACTTAATCTCCAGTCAAACTTCTCTTATTTTTCTTCTCTTCCTAGGAGTTGAATTAAATTTATCTTCAGAACCATAGGAAGCTGAACACTGCACCCATTTTTTGGAACTCTCTCCCTCTACCCTTCTTTCTAGCCCCCTCTCTATCTGCCTTTAAACCCTAAAAATCTACTTCGTCTCCTGCACCTTTGATCATCTCTGCCTTCTCCCCTCCTCTCTTTTCAGCTTCCAACACGGTTGCTGTGAAGCATTCTAAGACATTATCCTACATGAAGGGCAGTATATAAATGTAAGACCTTTGTTGGAATAAGACTCTAATGTAACCACAAAGGCCTCGGATGAGCCCTGAAGCTATCAATCCCAATAGAATCATAGAATATTACTGCATAGAAATAGGCCATTCAGCCCACCAAGTCTGTGTAGCATGAACTGGAGTTTGCAGGAGATTTCCAGGCCAAAGTAGGGAGAATAATCTGTGTTATAATGCTTTGAGTCACTACTGTGCATGAAAGGTGCTATATAAATGCAAGCTGTTGTTGTTTAAAGAATCCTAGGAGCATATAGCATGGAAATAGGCCATTCAGCCCATCAATCTTTTTCTTCATGAATTGTCTAATCTAATCATACTCTCCTGTTCACTCCCTACTGTTCAATGTTTCTCTTTTTCAAGTATCTATCAAATTTCATTTCAAAATGATATTTGGACTTCAGCTCAGATTTCTAGGAGAGTAGAATTCCTGGATGCTGATGTGAGTTTTAAAACAATATTTATAACTTTTGGAAACAAGTGCCTATTTGTACAGGTTAGATTTTAAACATTATCTGGGCATAAATAGTGGACTAATTCAAATTTAGCCACAACACTAAGCAGAATCACCAGCACTTTGAAGAAGGTGGAGCCTAAACATTACACCAACAAAAACAACAACTTGGATTTATATAGCGCCCTCAACGCCGGACGGTGTCTCAGAGCCCTTCACAGTAACGGATCCCGGGGCCGAGCCAGGGGAGTGGGAGGAAGGTGACCAAAGGCGCAGTTGAAAAGAAAGGTCTTCACGCCTGAAAATAGGAAAAGAAGGAGCGAGGCGAAGGGAGTGAGGAAGGGAGTTCCAGAGCCTCGGGGCATAGTGGCTGAAAGCATGGCCGCCGAGGGTGGAGCGGAGGACTCGGGGGACGAGGAGAAGGCCAGACCTGGAGGAACGAAGGCAACAGGTACTGTTTCGAGGAGAGAGGAGGTCAGAGAGGTAGGGGGGTACAGAGGAGTGGAGGGATTTGAATACAAGGGTAAGGATCTTGAAGTCGATCCTCTCTGGGACAGGCAGCTGATGCCGTCCCACTGATCGCTCGCTCCCAGTCTCTGCGTGCGTGTTTTGGCTGCCGGCCCGACCCGAGCCTCCCCTTCCACTTTAAATGTCTCTCCTCCCATCCACCTCTATCCACTACTCCCCCTCTGTCCTTCTCTCCCACCTCTCTCCCCGCCTTCTCTTTCTCCTCGACCCCATCACCACTTCCCTCTGCTCCAGCCTGGGCATTCTCCTCCTTGCCCATTGTGGCTCCCGGCACTAGCTATCCCAGAGCAGCAACCCCACGTGTCCAATCATTCACTCCCTCCGCTCAAACCGCCTCCTTAAGGCAAACCCAACTCCCCCTTCCTTCATACGTACCCTTCCAAACTCTCCACTCACACCACTCTCCACAACCATCTCTCCTGTACACCCCAAAATCCTCTCTGCATCACTCTCTCCTCCCTCCCCTCCGTCCAGCAAACTCATCCGCATTTCCCTCCAAAACGTCCGTTCCCTCTCAAATAAAGCCTCACCATCCACGACCTTATCCTGGACGAGCACCTTGACATTCTTGGGCTCACCGAAACCTGGCTCTCCCCAAATGACCCGTCCCCTAGTGGAAGCTTCCCCTCCAGTCTATACCTTCCACCACACCCCCCATCCAAATCAGGGTGGCAGCAGGGTGGCCTTAATTTCCAAAGCCTCCCTTGGTCTTACCCCCTACTCCTCTGGCTGCTTCCCCTCCTTTGAGCACCTCACCCTCCTCCACCCCTCTCTCCCATTGAAAATCCTCCTTGTCTATTGCCCTCCTAAGCCCCCCTGCTCCTTCTATCTCTACTCCCCTCTCTTCCCTGTCCCTCTGCTCCGAGCGCCTACTCATAATGGGCGATTTCAACTTCCACCTAAACTCCCCTTGCACTACTTCTGCCGACTTTACTGCCCTCCTCTCCTCCCTAAACCTCACCCTTCATATAAATTCACCAACCCACAACTGTGGTCATGCCTTTGACCTCATTATCACCCACGGCCTTGACATTTCCGACCTCAGCATAGTGGACAAGGCCATCTCGGACCACTTCCTCATCTCCTTCTCCTCTCACATCCCTCTCTCCTCCACCAAGCCCTCAACCATCCTCTACCACCCTTGGAAAAGACAAATGTCCCCTGAGACACTCACAAAGGCCCTCGCATCATCAAACATCCTATCCCTCTGGCCTTCCACCCACGGAGACCCTGAAGCAGTCCAGCTGCTCCATGATCGCCTCTCTTCCACCTTCAACTCCCTCGTCCCTCTGAAATCAGGGACCATCTCCAAACCCACCCGATTCCCCTGGTACAACAACCATCTCCGCCACCTAAAAACCCAAACCCATCTGCTCGAATGCAGATGGCGGAAAACTGGCCTGACAGTTCACTGCCAACTGTGGCTCGATCATCTGCACAGCTACCGCCGTTCCTTGACATGCACAAAAACGCCCTTCTACTCCAACATCATCTTGGAGGCTAAACACAGCCCTAAAATCCTTTTTTCCACCACCCACTACCTCCTCCGTGCCCCCACCTCAGGCCTCCTCAATCTTCACATCAAATGCAAAGTGCGAAGAGGTCATGGACTTCTTTTCATCTAAAATACACAACATCCGCCAGGCAGCCTCATCCACCTGCCCCTTGTCACCCACCACCACGCCCTCACTGTCCCCTTCACTCTCCCCGTCATCTGCTCCTACCACGACCCTCATCCTACATTTCTTCCTTCCCATCTCTCCCTCCTCCCTCTCACCAACCATCACCTCCATGAAACCCACCACCTGCTGCCTCGACCCCCTCCCCACCAACTTGCTGGTCACCCAGCTCCTCCTCCTCTGCCCACTACTGGCTGACATTATCAACCAGTCCCTCTCCCCCCTCAAAACTGCTGTCATCTCCCCCCTCCTCAAAAAACCTTCCCGAGATCCCTCAAACCCCAGCCACTAACGCCCCATTTCTAACCTGCTCTTCTTCACAAAGTCCTAGAACGCGATGTTGCCAGTCAACTTCGTGCACACCTCTCCTCCCACTCCCATTCGAACCCCTCCAGTCCACTTTCCGCCCTGCCCACAGTACAGAGAAAGTTACAAACGACATCCTCTTTATCTGTGACCAGGGCTCCCTCTGCCTCTTTGTCCTCCTGGACCTCTTTGTGGCGTTTGACACAATCGATCACGCCATCCTCCTCCACCACCTTTCCTCCGCCATCCACCTCAGTGGGATTGCACTCGCCTGGTTCGAGTCCTACCTCACAAACCGTCAGCAGTACATCTGCACAAACGGCTTCTCCTCTCACTCTCACCCGGTTACCTGCGGGGTACCCCAAGGATCCATCCTTGGCCCCCTCCTCTTTCTGATCTACATGCTCCCTCTTGGGGATGTCATCCGCAGACATGGGGTACATTTCTACATGTACACGGACGACACCCAATTCCATTTTTCCACCTTTCTTTGCGACTCCCAGTCCGCTGATGTTCTGTCAGCCTGCCTGTCAGATCTCAGGAGCAGGATGAATGCAAATTTCCTTCAGCTGAACGTTGACAAGACAGAAGCCATGCCTTTGTCACCTCTCGGCTGGACTATTGTAACGCCCTCCTCACCGGCCTCCCCTCCTCTGCCATCCATAAAATCCAGATCATTCAAAACTCTAATGCCCACATTCTCACCCACTCCAAAATCCGCTCCCCGGTCACCCCAGTCCTTGCCAGACTGCACTGGTGCACTTTCTTATCATCAATGATGATAAGAGAAAAGTATTGTAGGCAGTGACAAGGTAGGGTCTAATACAGGGCATGGGAATGGGGTGATTATGTGCAGAGGGTGACCTGTCTTCAAAGACAAACATATAGATCCTCTTGTATTAATCCTGCATTTTCAAAGTATGGTGTTATCTGGGCCATTCTCTTATCCAGTGTCGATCCTCAAGAATCAAATAATTCATGGTAAATTCTTAAGGAGTATTTAAAACAATACCCCTCAATAACTTTGCATGTCTCCTTCACCAATAACAACCACAATTCGTAGTCAGTAGGGTACATAAAATGTATTAATGCATGACCTCCTGAGTACCATTGTTAATTACCATTGATTTAACCTGTGAGATGATGAAGCTTAGTGATGTGAACTTTCTGTAGTGGGTTTGCTTTGCATACAAGTGATTGTAGGTAGTTTTCTGTTGGGATTTTTGTAAATCTGTGGGCCACAGGAGCAATTACCTATATGGACATTTCAAAACTCACTTCAGTCTTCTTTAGTGATAATGAAGAGGAGGAGGATGTCATGCCTCTATTCATCGGGTTTGGAGTATTTCCATCAGACTGCATCTTGTCCACTGGCGTATGCATTCTGTGGGCATCCAGCATCTCCAGCAGCAAGTCATAGAGTGGAACAATGTTCTTACACTTCATACTGTACAGGTGCTCCATGCCTTTGTTACTGTTGATCAAATCACATCAGAAAGAAATCAGTTCAGTCCCACACAACTATCACTGCACATGCATAACATTCTAAAACAGGAAATATCACACTCCGTCTGTATTTACAAACTGCTCACACAACTACACAGAACACTCGCTCCAATATAAAGTCAAATGATGTGCTTACACAAAAGGTAAGCATGAATTTACCAAGGTTTTAGCAACAAGAGACTACTTTAATAATCAGTAATGTTAATTGAGAATTATTACCTGAAGAAAAAAGAGGAAGTTTGGATTTTCTTTTTACACAGTGTGACTGAAATACAGATTATTGAATGTCTCTCACAAATGACGGTTGAATTATGTTCCCATAATAACATTTAAAAGGAATCAGATAAATATTTGAGGACAAAAATAATATTAAAATGTATTTGGAAAGAGAATAGGATTAGAGAGGTAGCTCCAATAGACGAGCAGCACCAGCACAGACACAATGGTCTGATCTGCCTGATTCTGTACTGTAACATTTCTCTAATCACCAGGTGCTATTATTCGCCCTCTTCCTGACCATCAACCCCTACCCACACCTGTCCCCACCCCCACCAGTGATATTTTAATTGAGATCACTATTTACACTATTTTACAGAAGTGAATAGTCAGTTCACTGCCCACCAGAGCAAAAATGTATTCAGTCAAAAATAATAACACAGTTGATATAGTATTCAGGAATTGAATTCACTTGGAGCTTCCTTAAATTCACTAGAATACATATAACATATAACCTATAATCTGGATAACTATAAGTATAAAAAATATATTTTATAACACCAATACTCTGCACAGGCTATACAGTTGTGAAGCAAATGTTGCATGGTGGCACAGCTTTCTATTTTGGAATTTTGGTTTGCTTTCTTTAGTTTATCCCTGGCTCCTTTGGTGTGTATCCATGTTGTGCACCATCTTAGTTAATACAGGCTCTGCTATTGCTGTCTTATAGCTGTCCACAGTAAGTAGCTCATGTGAATTTAGTAATTACTAAACATCCAAAATAGGTATATATACGCCACCAGAGAAATGAAAACAGCTCCTAAACTGTGGAGAACTTTAAATTGTTCTTTTCTGATCAGCAACATTTTCTCTATCATCTATTTGGAATTATTTGCGTTTATCCAGTGAAGGCTGATTGGGGGAACGTGTTTCAAAGAAGTCACTGAAGTCACCAAACAGTTCACAGGAGCAAGATTCACACCAGTAGAGGGAGAGTCATTCATAACAAGCGATGACAACATTTCACAAGCACAGGCGTTATCTCAGCACATTGTTGTTTGACAAATGTTTTTGATGTACCATCAAAAATAGAATACAAACACAGGTAAAAGTTAACCACAAAAAAAGAAATTATAATGCTTTGGAATGCTAACTTTCATCAGGTTGCCAATGGTGAGATTTGCAATTTGAAACATAACCAAGAAAGTTTTATTCCACATGAGCCAAATTCTCCATCCTAGACACTGATGTTCCTAAGGCGCTTACCTCATGTGCCTGATGTGAGAGAGGAGGAGCAGGAGTTGAGCCAGCCGTCGAGACTGCTGCTGCAGGGAGAGGCCTGCCCTGGTGATAAAGTGAACCAAAGCATCAGTGATTTTGTCCAGGATTATCTGAATCTGCTCACTGTCATTCAGTGCCTCCATCGTACTTGAGAGGAAAGGAAACACACCTAGAGAAAAACAAAATAAGTCAATGAATTAATAAAATAATTTGGATATTATTTACTATATGTTATAGGAGAGAAAATCAGCTACCAAAGTTCATTTATCAACTGCTTTTTTAACAATCTACATTCAGCGAGCGCAAGAAATGTTTTGTTTTATCGCTGTCTGTTTTACCGCTGTCTATTTTTCCTACAGATGCTGACTAGCCCCAGGACCAATTAGATCTAAGACACACCCAGTCCCAACACTAGCCCCAACCCCTCTACTATCAGCTCCAACACCATCTCCAACCCCACCACCATCAGCTCCACACCAGCCCAAACACCATTATTAGACCATCATTAACTGAATTCCCATCCTAATCCAGCCAACCGATATCCTGGCTCTTACCCAGTACCCATCCATGCCCTAGCCTCTAGCTAGTCTCACCACAAACCAAAGCCCCAAACTAAACCTAATCCTAGCTTCATCCCAACCATGTGCAAACCCCAGCCCAATATTTCCAGACCATCAATAGGTTCATCTGGGAAGGAAGACCACTGAGTATATGATTTAAAGGCTTTAACTCCCCAAAGAGGAAGGTGGAGTGAGTCTCCAGAATTATTGGGCTGCACAGCTCCCAGGATCCAAGTGTTCAGAATTGCCTTCTTTAGAACATCCAATTGAATACAGAGACACTGCCCAATAGCCATTCACTATATCTTTCCCCCACACAGCCAGAAAAAATATTCTCTTTATATTCTCCTGTAAAATATTCTCTTTATCCAGTAATTTATGTGGCCCAAACAGCTTGTAAAGCAAGTTGATGTGTTACTGATTGTCAGATATCTGTCCTACAGCAACCCGAAAACAAAAGGAATGATTTAATCCTTAACACAAGGCAGATTTTTACCAAGGGATAAAATGGAAAAATGACTCCTCATTACTGGATTTGTTGTAAGGCAAATAACAGGAGGTTTATACAAAAATTGACTGATTAATTTAGTCACACTGCATTCCATCTGTTTTTGGCGATGTGAATCAGTGCTCGCTGAAAAATACTGGCTATCTATTTCTAAATGGTAGTCTGACTGCAGCCCTTGTTTAACACAACTGAGCTAATCAAATATTGTAGGGTTAGTAACCAGATTGCCATATAGTGACAAATCAAAGACAAGTTAATGCCCAGATCTGAGGCTTCTGCCTGTGCTGCTAAGCTTCTGTTTTTGAGTCAATTACAGTACTAGGAAGTGAGTGAAAGTGCCCTGGGTTGATCCACCCTCTATGATATCCCCAGTCATGTGGGAAGCAGACCGATTACATACAGGATCTCCCCAGGTTCTGATGTGGACCTGCTTCTAGTGAGAACCTGGTTCTCATGGACAATTGAATTACAGTTAATTGTCTGGCCTCAGATTAGGCTTTTTATTCCATTCGACCTAACTCTTCCTTGAGATTTCATTACTTCCTGGTCTCAAATACTATGTCTCCCATGTCAGGCTGTATTTAGACAACTCTTCTGGTCCTGATTTCTCTTCCTACTGGACCTCCCCTAAAGATCAAATGTCCCCTACTCAGGAATCCCTCATTTTATTACTGAAGTCTGGGAACTTTAGACTTATTTTCTGGAACTCAATTTTACCCCTGGGAAACTGCTTATTCCTCCTATGGGAAAGTGCCAAAGCTGCTCTGTGGGAAAATTATCCGTGCCTACAGCAAAATAAAAATGCTCCCCAGGAGTCACAGGAGCATTGTATTCAAGAGCTGGAACCTGCACATAACAGAATACCCAAAGAGTGCTGGATTACCCCTCATTTCTGAAACCTAACATCTGCACTGCCTGAACAATATCCTTGAGTGCAGAGGCAAGTCAAGCTGCCTGAAACTGGCAAACACACAAGCTCAGATTTGGAATAATTGATTTTGTATGCAGACTGATGCCCTATCTGCTACATATAATGTAAAACACTTGGGAAGGAGATCAGAAGAATGAGGAGTTACTATGTAACTGGATTCTTATTATCCCAGAAGACTGTCAATTGTATAAAGAATATATCTGTGTGCTGAGCGTGTGAAGCCTCCTAATTCCAGAACCCACCACTTCAACAAAATCCGTTCTCTTTCCCCAAACACAAGCTCTCCAGCTTGAATCTGCTGAGAACCACTTGGACACTAGCCCATCCTAGATGACTTAAATGTAATCCATTTACAGGCAAATGGACACCACAGCAGGAGACAGAACCACTATCTTTGAGAGACACCGTTCTACTACCAGGCTCTAGGAAGCATCAAGGAGCAAGAAAAAAGATCAAGTTTACTACTGCCCCAGGCAAAGGGATCATAAATTCCTTTATGCTGAAAGGGAGTGACTGGGCTCACTACTAAAGTAAAACTCATGGTCTCTAATGGATTCTAGAACATATTTTAACGCAATGAAAATCAAACCATATACTGCACTGGACTGTTTTCTGACTGAATCTTCCCCATTGCATTAAATAAGAAAATATTTCTGGAATTGTCAGAGCAGAGATTAATGAGGAGTTACTGTGTGAATGGAATTATTTTCATCCTCTGAAAACAAAACTAAAAGAATAATCTGGCCCGTATAAGAATAAGCAAGGCAAATATAACTCGCAAATACCAAAAGAGTTAAAGTTGTACATTGGAACTGGAGGATTTCAGAAAATCGCAGAATATTTGCATAAAAATATAACCAGCAAGAGCTGAACCAAGTGTAAAGGCAATACCACAGCAAACAACAGAGCAGCTCCATGTGCCAAGCCTACTGCAACCACACAAATACAAGCAACTGTACTTAATATCTTCCCTAATAAATTTGCTTTTACTCTCTGCTCTTCTATCAGTATTTTACAGTCTCCTTGACCTTAGGCTTATAAGGACAAAAAGCAGACGTCTGTTGTGATATGAGAATATGTTTAAGAACAAAGTGTGTTTTGTAGTTTAAAGGTTTTTATTTCAATGTTGAGGTACAGCAAATGTTGCCATTTGGATAAACCTCCTAAGATGTGTGGGTGTCCTTGGTACCACAGACAGGCTGTCGCCATGAATAAATATCTCCAGAAGCCACACTGAGCATCAACGTAGCCTATACACAGTGAGAAAGCATCTACAGATGTGCAGCTGCAACTGCAGGTATTTTAATTCTCAATGTTTTATATGCCAAGCCACATGAAAACTGCCTTATCACCTAGAAAAAAACGATATAGACATATTACCAGTTTACTTATGCTGCATTTAAATTACACGTTTGGCAGTGATTCAATGTCCTATGTATAGTATGGGGACTGTAGAATGAATCACCCTGGAGAGGAGCAGTATGATTCACGTGCTCTGAGATGCTACCCTGTATGAAGGGCGCTATTATAAATGCAAGTTGTTGCTGTTGTATGAACACAGTTGGTGAGCTATGCTCAACTCTCCACCTTGTAGTTCACTAAATGCTCCCAAGCTGCTCTGATTTCAGTGTTCTGAATATGCACCAGATTACTTGTGTCCAAAATCTGGCGATTCTTTTCTCACGATTCATTCTGGAGTGGCAAGTCTAAATCTGGCTTTCCGCTTCACATCACTACACTACCAGTGAAGCAGCTTTGTCCTGAAATTAGAAACCCAACATAAGATGGCATTCTGAACCGTTCCAGAATTTCTGCAGGCAAAAAAAGAGGAATATTTCTAAATTAAATGAATTTAGTGACTCCCTTAATGATAATAATAACAACAATAACTATAACAACTTGCATTTATATAGCACCCTTCACGCGTCTTCTTGTATCTTTGAGACTTCTCAAAGCGCTTCACAGATTATACTGTAAAATGAACTGGCTATATATTTTGTGGATGAAACTTGGCAGCCAATTGCGCACAGCAGTGTCCCACAAACAGTCATGGATTGAGTGACCAAATTATTATTTTTTTAAGGGATTATTACCCCCGGAAAAGCAATCTGCCAGTCGACTAACAAATTTATGTTCTGCAGTAGGTATAAGGGTTGGGAAGAGGTTTATTGGAAGAATTACTTATTGGAACATAAGAAAAAATCTCAAGCATGAAACTATTCTAGGAATTGAGCAGTACATTGAGTTTACACACTGTCCTTTCACCTTTAAGGCTGAGTTTGAATCTAGTCTGCAATGTACTCTGTCCTCCCGACGTGAAAGGCACTATACAAATGTAATCTTGTTGTTGTTGTTGCAGACCAGGATGCTGGTCAGAATGTACTGTGTGACATCAATCTCAAAATAGTATCCAGTCATGGACCACAGGTCCATTGTATAAAACGGCCAATAATTCAACCTTAAACTACAAGACTCACGTGAAGAGATGCTGTTTCTCATGTAGATTGTGAGAAACAGTATGGAATACTGCAGAAGAGATTGGCAGGTCTTCCGAGGTTGACACTGAGGCCCATTGTCGGGGCACAGTAAGAGGATGCTTTATTCAGCATCCAACCTTATGCTATACCTGACCCAGGAGTACTGGTGACACTGGATTCTCAGATTGGAGAAGCGCTCGATTTCTCAGCAGTATAAATGTTCATGAAAAAATGAAAACAATTTCTTTACACAGAGAGCAATTAAAAGAAGGAATGGGTTACCGGGAAGGAAGGTCTAGGTCAAATCACTGGGCTCATTTAAGAAACATCGGGATAGTGGGGTGGATATTATGGAAGGATGAGATGATGAGAAGATGAGACCAAAAGATCTTTTTCATTCAAACCTCTCTTCTGATCTTGCAAGTTAATCCTTTAGAAAAGTTTTTATTTTGTGTTATCAAGATTATGGACATTTAAAGAAACGCTTCACTGAGAATCTGTCTTGAATTGGTCACGTTTCTTATAACTTGTTTAGTGAAACATAGACAACCTCCCTTCAGAATGCTACTACAAATATGTTTGTAATCTGTGTGAAGACCAACTTTTGTAAGTGGGTAAGTGAGGAGTGGTGTCTTGCAATGTGAAATGGCTGGCGAAACAACAACAAATTACATTTATATAATGCCTTTCATG